CAGTTTAACACCTACGCTGTAATCCGTGTCCCCGTGAAAGCCATCAACGCCTCGGTCATTGGCTCCCCTCAAGATGAGATTAAGACCAAATTTTTCCTCAACTTGCATCCGAAGAACAACAAGTAGCTGTTTTTGATAGTCCGCTATATATCTGCCATATTCTAACCAGAAATGAATCGCCAATGCTAGAAAGTGCAGACAAAACATGTTTCAATGTCTGTCGTATGATTGTGCTCCTCAAGAAATTTGACTCTCCTGCATCACAGACCCGACGAAGTATTCGACAAATCTCCTACACCTCGATGGCATATCGTTGAGTTCAAGTGGTAACAACGCGGCAGCGTCGCTGTACAATAAACATAGAAATGCTGCGAATATTTTTTCCAGAGTGAGCTAGAGCTAGCATCCATATACTCTTGCCCGTACTGTGCCAATCCCTTGAGGTTCTCAATCGTCCACGTAGAAATAGTATGTGCGTTGAAGTACGTTTGACGCTTCTTTGATTTCTCCTGGACTTCCCTCAACAGCATCTTGTGAGTCTTCTCTCGCGGCAGCATCGTCAATTGTATCCACTCGTATTTCCGAAGAATTCCAATTCAATTATAGAACCCATCGTAGAATCTGAACCTGGATAATGGTTTGAAGGTACGGCACGCGTCTTTTTCTCGTTGGCTGGATATCTCCGCCATCATCAGAAGTCTAATGCTTAGAAACTTAGTCCCTGCTTTCGCTAGAGATACTCGGCGATATTGTAGCTCATCATAGTAGCTCGTAAGTAAATTCATCGAGCCGGACTACAAGCCTTTTATAGCCTTTGAAGCGGGAAATGGTGTATGGTGTGTTGTTGTACCCTGGCAAACATGCATTGCAGTGCTGCTGCTCTGCAACAGGGCTCTCTGAATTGTCAGCGATGTCGCGCATTGGTGGTTGATGCTCATCCACAGTGCCCACACATGCCCGGCTGATGAATCTCAGCGGTATTGGGCGTGCGCAGTCCGTCCTACAATTTGGTTGAAGGCCAAGCTTCCGATCCCTGAGCACTCCTTTCGCCTCAGACAAGCCTTGCACCAAGCTTGGCCAACGGCCAGATCTTCGCCGAATTATGAACAATGTATCATGCCTTTATCTAGAACGACTTCTGAATCCCAGGTCTCATCCCTAAGCGATAGGGGGCGAGGAGTGGGGCAGTGCATAGAGTCAAATCTTGAGGCATAAGAATTTCGAGTTCCCGTAGTGCCAAAATGCTTGTGCGGGCAGCGAATAGATCAATTTCGTAGAGTTCGACATTAGGATCTCGTGCGATTGGAGGAAGAGCTCAATGGCTCTTAAATATAACAAAAGAACATTGGTTGTATTGCTTTGCGAGCGTTCTTCAGCTTTTTGATGAATTCAATTCTCTGAACATGAGCGTTTTTTGCGTCGTGCTCCTGGCGGAGGCCTAGCAACACCAGCAGATTCCTTCTGGGATCGGAATCTGGGCTAAAAGGATTGTACGCCGGAAAATCGAGCCACTTCGCGTGAATGAGACGCTGTTGATCTTGGGTAAGAAGATTCCAGACCCTTGGGTCCACCATGTCGTGGCTATATGTGTCGATTGAGGGTTTCTGAAGTGGACCGTTTGGAACTTCGCTCATTGGGATGAGATAGTCAGGTGTTGTGGCCTTGCAAATTTGTGTTCCCGGCGTTGGCGATCATCCAGGTGGATCTTGATTTCGATTTAAATCCCCCCAAACATACCAACGAACCCGACCCAACAACCAAGACCCACTTTGGAACCCTATGGATATGTTTCCTTGGCTGAGGTAAAGGTAGCCCATTGGCTGATCGGCCAGAGGGTGATTGATCAAGTTGGACGATGTGTACTGTCCTTAGTCTTTGTGGCATGCATCAACTTTCCTTTCGAACCCAATCACTAGTCCAATGATACATTGGTAACTCAGTAGATGATTACTGATGCTTTGCTCGACCAATACTGAAACGATGGTGATCGCGGTGGTATTTATCGGTGGGAAAGTCGTCGATCTTAAGAGGGGTCCCAAAGAGCGAATAAAGGAATCGGACACAGAGCTACAGCTCCTATGACGTGGCTGATGGGCTCTGAAGATGCTGATAGATTTGCCCCACATATATCCGCCCTCGAAAATTGGTCCAGACAGGTCCTTGGTCTTGTTATATGGAAGCCTCTAATTTGATTTTGGCTCTATCCACCTCATGAATTTCGAGATATGAAGAGAAACCGGACTTTTGATATGTTTGCGGAGTATTCGAAGGCATTATCACCCTTCTACAAATCCGAATGCAAGATATTTCTAGTCTAAAATCTTGAACATGTAGATGTTGCCCGCTCATGGCTGCGGAAATGACCATCACCTTCCAGTGGAAGGGTTTCCATTGGGTATCTGGGTCGAAGAGATAATGATCCAACTTCTAATAAAGGGGGCAGGTTTGATCCAAAATCGGGACTCAGCAAGTCCTCATCATAGAACCCCGATGAAGGTTCAGCCGTGGCATAAGTCGGCATCCCATCATGACAGTCAATTTGAGCCGTAGCGAAGCGTATGTCGACTGGCAGATGAACAGGTACCTTTTACGGGTGAATAGTTGGGTTTCGGTGGCTGAAAAGACAGAGCTGCTTTGATATCGTGGGCGGAAGCTTCTCTTTGACTCAGGACATCTCACCTTACCGCAATGTCGGTTCCTGGAGTGGGAGCGGGACGGAGATTCTGCGTCGGGTGGTGTTCGACGAAGTAGTAGCACATGATGGTCCTCGAGCTTTGTGACAAAGTTGTTGAATTGAGACCAGACTACAATCGAGGTGTAGGTTTATCATTGTGTTTGTGAGGATTGGCCATGAGTCGGGATTCAGTATTCGTCGTATATAAGCTATTCTAGTCGACGGTATGAGAAGTGAGCCACAGTAGGACAAAAAAGCCGGACAAGCGCAGAAGATAGGGTGTGTTCTTGGATGTAGTCACTCATTGTGCCTTCTTGTCGATGATATCAAGGGCTTTCTTGACTGGCGACATGATCTGGCCTTTGGTGAGGTTCACGAGGCATTTCGAACTTGTCCTCGACCTGGGTGATATAAGTTTTCAAAAGAACGAGGAGGAGATGATCGGGCTTGAATCATGCCTGTGTCTCAAATCATCGATAGGAGCATGCCAGAGATCTTGTTCCCGTTCGCAAATCCATGGATGTCACAAAACACCACGTAGACAACTCTTCGGCTTTGCCCTGAAAATAATCATCTGCCCAGTCCCCAGGAGGCGAATAATCGTCAATTTAGAACGAATACCCGGAGAAAGATGAAGAGTCAGAATAGTATGAACATGAGCCGTCTCCTTCGCTGCTTACCCAAAAAGTGCTCTTGTCGCTGCGAGGCTTACTCTGAAAAGCACGTCATTGGCGAGACCCGTTTATGTTGAGGCGTAGTGAGCTACGCTTGTCGCATTGCGCACGCCTACGTGAAGCCTCATAGTACGTCCGAGTACCCTTTGCGTTGACTCGTAGTTGAGTAGCCTTATGTCACACAGAATCGTAGGCAGAGACGGAGTGCAGTGCCCAGATTCACAGGCTTCGTCGGAACACTATATGAATATCGAAGGTCAGTGTTGCAGAGATCCATCGGTTCAAAATTGGCCAGAACTCACGACTCAAGGGTACCGTTCTCTCATATGATGGGTCTAGAATTAAGCCCGGGGATCACTAAAGGGAAGTATATATATATACGATCGCCAGCCTCATAGCCAAGCGAAAAGGGCAAAGTTAGACCGCAAGAGATGGATGCAAGAGGAAAGAAACTCGAGGGTAGATCAACCTTTAGATACCCACCAAAATCACTCCACACAGCCAAAAACAGTCACATGAGAATGAATCTTGTGCCAGACACGGCTGTGGCGTAAAGTCACGCTTTCATTGCATGTCTTGCTTTAGTGGCTAAAGTCCGTTGTGAAGTCTGCTTTTTGGATAGGACTGGCGTGAAGTAGCCTTAATAGCAAGTCTTGATGAGAGAAAAGGCTTGGAAATAATTTTACGACATAAAATCTGCATGTGCCCGTCTGGCGCGAGGGAACAAAGGAATTTGTCTGTAGATGCATTTTGCCGCATCAATGAGGCAGGCTCGCATAGATAGCACGTAGAACCGTATGGGCAGGAGAACGACTTTGTATGAGCTTGAATACTCAGGTTACGATATGCTTTGGAAATGAGATGCATTGTGTACAATTCAAGGATCCTATCTGAAAGAGTGAAGGAGGCAGGGAAATGTGCGTGGCAAGGGAGCAAAAGCTGTGAATACAGTAAGATATACTTGCAGGTCCGTGCACCTTTACTCTCATGGTTTGAAGTATGAATTGTAGAAGAGCTGTGCATGCACCAAAAGAAGCGTCTTTTCCTACCGATGCTTGAGTGGGCAAGTAGTTGTCTTCAGGGTGATTCTAGATCGGCTGCCAAAACTGAACGTCTGCACCTTGTTATCCCACCAGATCGTAGTGGGTGCTCTTTGAGTCCGAGTATTAAATTTATAAATGTATTGATACTGTACTTGTTCGTGGTTGTGAACAGTAAGAGAACGCTAGAGCCCCTTACTACACCGCTTTGGGTTTAGCGAGCCCCCTTTTCTTATAGCCCATCGAGATGAAGGGGAACTAGTATTGATCGGTCTGCGATGTACATTTAATATGTACAGAATCCATGGGTAGTAGAACATGGTCATATTCTCGCATTAGTCCGTTGGTGGAAACACTGATGGTAGCTCATGGAGATACTCAGTGTTAGGTTCTGATTTAGTCCATTTTCTCCTGTCTTATCAAGAGACTTCTACAGCACAGATTGAGATGATGACATGTTCTCCGTAAAGGCAGTAACTCTCATTGGCATACAAAATCCTCCAAAATATATATCACTACCATCAACATAATCCGTCTTCACCTTTCAAATTCATCCGCGAGCAAAGACTCAAATCGTCTATGTCTCTTCTTTCACCTGTCAATCCCCATGATTCATACAACATTATGCAAGCTCATTATCCTCATATCTCTCGTCTCTTCCTCGAGCAAAGACCCTCTACGATCTTTGGCTCTCTCTATGTCTTCTTTCCCTTTCTTTTCCCCCATCGTCCTTATTGTCTCCCTAGTCTCCATCCCTTTGCGGATGCCTGAACTTGCAGCCTTGTGTACGACATGTTAGATCCCAACGACACACCAGCGTGCTTTTTGGATGCTCGTACTGGCATCCTTTGCTCCTCCTCGGACATAACCTGCCATACTTGCAAGGTCTCTTTCCTCCAGCTTCCGGCCCAGCTCCTCGTCCAGCTGCACCAGCTGCTGCACCAGCTCCCCGAAAAGGCTCTCCCCCAACTCCTCGTCCAACTCCAAGTTCAAGCCCTGGTCCAGCTCCTCGTCCAACCCGACCCAATGGCTGCGGTGGATTGAACGCAGCGGGTCCGGCAAAAGTACGAGGCGTCAAAAACGCTGGCGAAGGATGACGCTGCACGCAGCCCACAGATTCGCACTCGTGACCGCGTCCGCACCATGTTTTGCGCAGGATGAGGGAGTTGCGCGTTTGGAAACGGTTGTGGTGGATTTCAAAACAGCCAGGATTCTTGCAGTCCAGATCCTGGGGGCACATTATTCTTGGATCACCCGGATCCTTGGGAACGTCCTGGGGGCGCATGAGCCCGGGTGCCAAGGGTGCCTCGTCGTCGTCACCCGGCTCGCTTGATTTAGAGCTTGGTTGAGGGCTTGGTGGGGAGCTTGGTGGCTCTTGTTTTGGTGGTGTTGGAAATGAGTTGTTTCGGGGTCGTGTCGGGCGCTTATTGTCCTGATCACTTGTGTGAGAATCTGGCGAGGAGGGTTCTGAATCTCCTTTGAGCTGGTCTAGAGATGGATCTGACCTGGTCCGTGAGTGAAGGTTCGGGAGACCAATGCCCCGATTGACCGGTGCAGTCAGCCGTCGGTCTTGGAACTCCTCTCGCAGGGTATTGCGAACACGGAAGTCAGAGCGGTCTAGTGGACCTACTAAATTCTCAAGCCTCTGCATACGAGGCAAATCTTCATCAGAAGGATGATCTGTCTCTGGTTGAATAGCCCCCTGATCTCGACTTGCCGACGGTTGAGGAGGCGCCTGTGGACCAGTCGTCTGCGATTCCTGTCCTCGAGATGCCTCTTGACCAGAAAGATCCCCTGCCTCTGGCTGAATGGCTAATCCATGGTCATGGCTTGCCGACGGTTGAGGAGGCGCCTGTGAATCAGCCGTCTGCGATTTCTGTTCTCGAGATGCCTCTTGACCAGAAAGATCTTTTGCCTCTGGCTGAATAGCTAATCCATGGTCATGATTCGCTGGCGGGTGGAGAGGCGCCTTTTGAAAAGCGGTTTCTGCTGCCATCTTCTCCTCCAGCAGCCGCTTGAGACCGGGAGAATCGGCCGCTCGTAATTTCTCCTTGCCCTTAGGCGAGCCTGGTTGCACTTCCTTGAAGGAATTTTGGGTCTGCTCAGAAGCCTTTTGAGTCTGCTTAGAAGCCTGTTGAGTCTGCTCAGAAGCCTGTTCAGTTTGCTCAGAAGCTAGTTGAGTCTGCTCAGAAGTCTTTTGAGTCTGCTCTTGTGCTTGTTCAGTTTGCTCAGAAGCTAGTTGAGTCTGCTCTTGTGCTCGTGGGTTTTGTGGTTCAGCTTTGGCGGTCCTCAGTGGAGCGGCGTCAGATTTAGGATTTTTGCCGTCGCCAGTGTGGTCATTGTGCGTCTGCGCTCCTTCGATAGAGAATTCATCATCTCTTTGCATAAGGAGCTCATTCTTGAGGATTTTCCAATGCAACATGCTGATTCGACGGAGGCTCTCCTTCAATGGATCCTCTTCTTTCGTTTCTAAAGCTTCACCTGCCGCCTGTTTATCTCCTTGCGGCGGCTGAAGGGGTTGTTTTTGGACCTGCGAGGCTTGCTCTCGATTCGTCGGTGACGATTGTTCAGAATCTGAATCTGGAAATACATGGGTTTCAAAGCCCCCTCGCGTATCCACCGAGGGTTTTCCGACATTCCGATAATCAATTGGGAGGTCGCTACTCAGATATTCGCTGACGAGCTTCTTGGCTTCTGACTTGATGTCTTCATCACTGCGAGCCAGTCCACCTGGTCGCAGCACTTTGAGTCGAAAATGATCGAATTCCCCAAGCCCATCATATCTACGCTGGCCTGCAAACGTCTCACTCTCGAAAGCTTTCCGCTTGGATTCAAGGTCACCAGCTTTCTTTCCAATTGCCTTACTTCTCGAGGCTCCCGGACCAGAAAACTTATCGTCGTATTGTCCATCCTCCCACTCATCACCGGAAGTGTTTGGTCCTGGTGGAGGTGGAGGCGGAGGCGGAGGCGGAGGCGAAGGAGGTGGAGGTGGAGGTGGTGGTGGTGGAGAAGGTGGAGGTGGTGGGCCTCCTGAAGTAAGCGAAACCAGGGAGTCTCCTAGTTGCTCGACTATCCCGATCAGAGTTTCTTTTTCCTTGAAAAGGTCTTGATTTGCTGCTAAGAGCATATCAGCCGCGTTTCCAGTTGTTTTGGCAATATCATTCCGCTTGCGCACAAGACGCTGCAAGACCTGATTTTGGGTCCGTAATGGACGGCTCTGCGCTTGATCCACATTTCTGTAAACGTTCGCAAGCTTGTTCCTTCTTCTTTTCAGCTCCGGTTTCACGTAGACTCTTGGCTTGTCCTTCCGCCTCTTGTCCTCCCGCTTCTTTTCATTCGGCTTCTTGTCCTTGGGGTTTTTCCAGCGAGATATCAGCCATTTTGCGGAAATGCAAAGAAGGATAACGGTCAAGACGTGGAGGCCAAAGTACCAATCGATTTTCATTCCCCAGAACGTGAGTTCAGTACTGTGTGTTAGTACGGGAGAGTGAGTTGATGATGTGCCACTTGATTCAGGGCGATGACTACTCCTCATTCCGCCCGTGGGTCGTTTCCAACGAGCACCATGTGTACGTGCATGAATCTCCCGACGCGTCCTAGTTGGCGAGAAGGACTGGAAGACTCCCAGCTCTTCGACGGCTGGAGGAATCAAGACTGTTTTGATAAAAGTCTTCGACACGTCCAAGAGGTATGCTGGACTGGGGCAGTAGGTCCTCAGCTCTTTTCCGGCTGGAAGGATCGCCATGTTGGATGTCTGTTTGGGCATGGTGGTAACGTTCCCCAGCTCTTCTCCGGCTGCAGGGATGTTACGAGAGATGTTTTGAGAGTAAGTTCTACCTTTATGACGAGCGGCTGCGAATTTTCCACTGAACCTCGAATCTCTCCAGGCTTTGGGAACGATGTATTTGACTGATGTCGTGGTGCAGATAATAAGTGACTCGATTATAATTCCACGCAAAGGAAGTCTATCCATAACAGAGACATGATGCCGGTCTGGAGATCATCATGTGGAAATTCTGCGTGAGGGATTGTGGAAAGATGGAGAGAGTGAGAAACAATAAAGTTGCATTTCATTGTTATGGATTTCGTGACACTCTTGTTTGGTGTTTGTCACGTCAGAACAATGAAAGAGGCGTGACATGCGTGCTTTGCCGCAACACATTGTTACTCCCACTCCCCACTGGCTAAGTCAAGTGTACACATTACAAGGAGCGGGAAAATCAGAAAGCGGAAGTGTTGATATCTAGCATCTATTGGTTATTATGATTATCCATTTAGAGTGTTAATTGGACTACTGATGCATAGATTTGGACTGACACTACCACTGAAGTCAACACAATAAATCATTATCCAAGAAACCTCATGAATCAAGACACATAGAATTTTGACCTGTTAGATAGGACTGTCCACATCATTTGAGTGTAAAACTATGTCTACCTAGTCTTTCCTCATGAACACCGCGATCTTCAGGAGCTCTCATGAAAGAAGAGGTGTTGGATAGTCTGTAGGTTGAGTAGCGAGAATGAGGAAGAAGATTAGCACCACCAGAATAATATCAATTGTTATCTCTTTCACGGATTTCCTTGTCATTATAGCCTCGGACAGTGCGCCTTTGCTGGGATCGCACCATATGACTAACATTTTTCACTCTTCGCGGTACCGGACTTGATAGTAGCCATGAGGGAATAAGACTAAGCAAATCCAACAGAAAAATGGGGAATGGGAAGGATCTCAATTGATTTTGATGGGACTCCCAACGGAGCTATCCTTTTCTCTCTTTCATTATTCAGAGTGTCTAGTTCCCACGTACATACTCCCCCGTTTTACCCCAGACAACTCGAAAATTCTGAGCCTGTCTCTACCTTTTCTTGCGTCTGAGTGATTTACAGAAATTGCCTGCGTGAAAATAGAGCCGCTTCCTGTCCTAGCGAGGTCGAGTGTACCTACGAAGCACTGCCCAGGCTAGAGCGAAATAGATGAACAAGCAACATAGGCTGATCCAAAGCCATTTTGAATACCCAGCGTCGCGACGCGTCTCCTCCGTAAGTAATGTCTTGTATCTTCCCACAGTTACCTTGTGAATGTCCTCCAATTTCATGTGAACCTCACCCATGTATTTGAGGAATTGCTGTCCAACAATCTCTTGCATCTCTCTCGTAGCTCTGCATTTTCGAGTTTGAGCTCTCTTCTTTCTCTGGCTTCGATTCCACCTTCTTTGCAAGGGTCTAACCAGATCACGATCATGTCCCTGTCCATCCGGTACCTTACCTCTGTGTAGAGGGACGTAGCCGCGACCTGCCATAGAAAACATGAGATATAGCTTTTTGGCTCTGCTTCTTCATCACGTTTGGGGAAAATGACCTTCGCGCAAGGCCAGAGATACTGAATGCTCGGATCATCTTGTATGATCGTTGTTTGGCATGCGAACAAATCCTGATTCCACGAGATACCGATAGGCTCAGAAGGAAAGGTCCTGAAGACTGCAGACGAACGCAGCTTTCTAGGCAGCGCCCATATACTTTCCTTATATGCTTCAAGCGAGTCCATATGCCATAGACTCTCGCGTATATTGTCTTTCTGCTCCATACTCATCATCCATGGTGGCAAAACAACCGCATGAAAATAAGTCAAATTCAGCATATCATCTAGAGGCTTCTGCACGATGTCCTTCCATTGTTTGCTTGCGCATAGAAGATTGTAGATTGTTTGAATTCGGTCTTCAGGTTCGAATGTCTGTACTTCTTGTACAATATCAAGCAGGATCTTTGTCGGCAGTGGCTTGATTGCGGAGGCAGCTTGATTGGATTCTACTTCAGTAGAGTGCTGTTCGTCCAAAATTTGAGGATCTAGGTTCGACTGATAGTTCGGCATTTTTACTTCGATCGGAGGATGCTAGTTTGTAGGTTGGATGTTCGAAAACTGCGGGATACTCCTTATATGCGGATGTGTTGGACTCGTGTGTCGAGCAGACAGTTACAGGCAAGCCTTACGTCACCACAGCTTGACACGTTGCAGGATCAAAACAATGACAATCTAGTTGACAACGGATTAAGGTGGGAACAAGCTGTAAAGACTCTGTCAGCCAACGGTGTCAGCCTTGAATTAGGACAATGAGACTGAAGGAGAAGAAGCGTGAAGAGGCGGCCTGAATACAGCATCTACCATAGGAAGGTAGAGATCTCTCCAAAATACTGCATCAAATTTATTGTTGGCCTTTCCATTCTTCTTGCCCTTTCATCTTTTGACGCAGGGCTTCTATCACCCATATGAACACCAACGCGCAGACGAGTGTCTGGTGAACGTAGGCTTGCAAGACAGAAAATCTTCTTCTTGATTTGATTGCCAGAAAATAGACATCTAATGCCGATTCGGTCTCCATGATGCATCCCAGCGTCTTTGTCGCCGTGGCCTTGTTTTGTACGCGAATCCCGTTTACATTTTTGCGCGAGAACATGTCACACCATGAACACTATTCAAAATTCCAACTTTCTGGTTATTTGAGCGCAAATGCTTCAATATCTGGATTAAAAAGGGACAGGTCTCGTCACAGCTCCATTCTGCGGTCCTGGCTGGTCTGGGTCGACTTGACTAAAGTCGCCGTTGGCGCTATCCGTTCCACTGTATTATAAAGAGGCAGTAAGTAGTCTTGTACTGACAATAAGATCGCTTGTAAGTCGTGGACTAGTAGTCTTTTGTTGTTCGGATAGAGATATGCGTCAAAGATTATGGTCATGAGGCAAAGGAGCGCCCAGATCAAAAGGTAAAGCCATAGAGGTGGCAAGCGTTGCTTGAAATTATTCCAGCTCGAGACAGAAGTCTTATACTTAATGTCTTTGCGATCATTCCACCATAATATGATCAAGTTCTCCTGCTGAAGGAATTCTACCTCCACGAAGTCGCTCATGAGGGATAGTATAACGACATAATGCTTGAGTATGTGCCTGCAAAGCTCTATCGACTGAGTGCCACGAGCTGGTCTGTGATACTGGCGGCATGAAGGGTCGTTCAGAATGATGGTTCGATAAGCCTGAATGCGCCAGTCCCAGCAAAAACCGATGGGGTGCGAAGGCACTGTAAGGAATACTGCCAGATCTCGATGTTCCCGGGGCAGCTGACGAATACTCTCCATGTACGCTTGAAAATTTTCTAATCGCCATGTTGACTCCCTCAAAGGATCGTTTGGATTGATGCTTTTCATCCAAGGTGGCAGAATCAGCTCCTTGAACCGTGGCGAGCTTAGGGTTTCTTGAGCATTCTGACGGAGTATTCTACGCCATTGAAAGTTGGTGCGATAGAGGGAGCTGAGGGTCTTGAGACGATCCCTGCTGTCCAGTCCATGAATCTCTATTAAGATATGCCACCAGAGCTCGATCGGTACCCGATCGAGTGGGAAGGGGGTGGCCTTCTTTCTCGTTACGAGTGAATTGATCTTTTCCCAAATTCGATAGAGCAACATTGTCTCGTTCCTTGCCCTAGAGCGATGTTAGTCAAGTTCTCTGCTTTAAAGTGGGGCAAGCAGGCAGAGCGTCCCAAAGAGGGTGCCCACATACTGCTTAAAGTGCCACATACAAGGCATAATTGGACTCTCGGTGCATTGAGAATGTCCAGAGATAAATGGTTATTCCCGATTGTTTGCTGAATGCGTGAGCGACGGATGTCATGCAGGTAGCTATTATGGTATTGCTGTTGCTAAAGAAGTTAGTCATGACCGACGAGACGACAGTGTTTACGACAGCAGATGTTTGCGTGATGCATATGCGTGATGGAGATAGTGAAGGGACAAAAGATGCGAAATCGAAATTTTCATGGAGGGAAATGAGGTCAAGGAAAGAACAACTAGGATTGGTTTGGAGACTATCACCGGAAAGAGTAAACAACACACTTTGCCAGTAGCTTCACTCCCACAACTCCATGACTAAGCGCCAACGTCCTCGCCGCCAGTCTCTGCCAATGACCTACTTAAAATGACAGCTCAATACCCACAGAACTTCCCCACAATTCTACAAACATCACCAAACACACTCTCACCCCTCGCACGGCCCTGAGGACTCCACTCCGCCCTCCTCACATGAATAATCGTCTCCTTCAACCCATCCAACTTCTCCACATCCCCCATCACCCCCCTCTCACCCCACTCTCTCTCTTCCCAAGGAAAGTCGGCCGTCCACAAACCACATCCTTTCTCCCTTGCCCTGCGCCTTCCGCCGCGACCGTCTCCGACCAAAACCCATAATGCGCCCCAACAAACGCATCAACCAGAGTGATATCCCTCTCCCTCAACCCCTCCTCCGCACCCTCCCCACCCTCATAGCCAAACCACCTCACCCGCCCCCAAGCCAACCACACATTCTCGGGCGGATTACTAGCTCCAAAAACCTCGCCCCCATCCGCCCTCACATTCAATTTCCCCCCATGCAAATACGGGCCCTTCTCATGCTTCCCCACCATCACCCCCACCGGACACCCTTCCACTTCACAAACCGTACTGAGATGCGGATACGGAAATATCGGCACCTTGACGTTCGCGAGACGGAGAGCGTCGCGTTCAGCGTTCGTTTTCGCGTTGGCGAGAGCGAGAAGGCGGGCCGGAGCTAGGGTGTTTGGGCTTTGTGGAGTGTGGACGGTGGGGCGGGATGTGCGTATGTTTTTGATTGGAAGGGAACTGGGGAGGGGTTTTGGCGCGATGGTCAGGGGCGCGGGATAGAAGCCTGAGTGGGCGAAATTGCGCTCCGAGGCTTTGAGGTCGGTGGGGGTGGGGATGTTGAAGGGGGAGCCGTTGAGGAGGCGCGGGGAGCGCGGGTTGTTGGTCTTGTTGGGGGAGGAGGCGACTCCTGGGCTGCTCTCGTATTCTGGGATTGTTAGTGAGAGGAGGGGAGGCGCGCGGCGGAGGGGTTGGCTCGTACGATAAGGACATGGGGCTTGGGCTGCGGTGGGAGGGAGCATGGTGTCTAGGAGGTCTTTGATTTCGACCATGCGCTCGTCGGGGAGGGTGGATTCTGAGGATTGGTCATCTTGAGTTTCGACTACGGTACTGGAGCGTTTGTCGTCTTGGGTTTCGATTGTTATGCTGGAACTTTTGTCATTTGAGTCGGGTGATGGTGCGCGGAGTGAGATTGAGGGACATTGCTCGAGAGGTGGTAATAGACTGTCTGGATTGGGGATCTGCATGCTGTCGATGGTGGCTTTTCTCGAGGCTGGAAGCTGTATGTCAGCGGGCGAAAGCATGTTGGAAAGAGAGACTACAGCGTTCGAGATATCTCCAGTTATTTGTGGGAACTCTTCAGCCGAAAGCTCTTGATCATGCTCTAGAATTGGTGAGTCAAGAGAGATTTCTTCAAAAGCAGGAGACTGTGGAACTCCCGGCTCCACACTATTTCGCCACTGATCGATCCGTCCAGACATATCAGTGGCTGCCTTTGCGATTATGGGATTGCGTTTGACTGAGTTCTGGCAAGACCGAGCGGTTGAAAGATTGCAGTACAATTGACCAGGCGATACTGAGTGATGCTGGAGCACTCGGGGTGGACTCGGCGGTATTTGATGTCAGGACAGAGAGAACAATGCTGTTTGTCTTGTTGTCCGTTAGTTTTCACAATGGCTTAATTGCTGCAACAATACTATTGTTTTAATCTCAGCTTCGTTGTTCGTCTCTCGGCACTTTGCACCTATGCTTGACAATCAGGATTGAGAATATCAAGATCTTTTTTCCACTTTACACGTTCTTGACATCCATAGGTACTAGTGACTTGGTTGCGACCTCCAGGGACAAATCATACCTTTGCAAAGCCTAAGCCAATTCCACGGATCCAGCATCGTCACAACCATGTCCTCAGCAGCTTCTGATACATCATACGCAGCATTCAAAGCGTCTCTGAATGCCCCAACATCTCGAATCTATGCTCAGGTTCCTAGCTCACAGTACTTCTCTACCGGTAATGAGTATCTCAACAGCTTGGACACGACAGATTCCTTCCATCGCGCAGTAGGAATGCGGCACTTTGCTGACTCCGACTTCTTCAACCCTGGAAGCGACCCGCGCTTTGAAGCAGAGCTACAAGCAAGCATACTTGGTCAGAATGAGGAGAAGGTAAACGAACATCTTGATCGGTCCTTAAAGAAAGTACATGTGATGGTCAAAGAGGGCAAAGAAGCAATGCGAGACGGCGGAAAAGTATTGCGACGGCGATGTCGGCGGGCCAACCTCAAAGAAGAGACATATGAGAAGACGACTGGGGAGGGAGAGACGAGGAAGATTTGCCAAGGTCAGGAACAGGCGTTCACGAGGCCTCGTAGGGAGCCCGATCCAGAGAAGAGACATTCAGCGCTAATCCGTGACATTGTAGAACTGTTGGACGCTGACGAAGTTAAGGAGGGTTTGATAACAGAGAAGATTCGCCGAAGTGTGATCGAGGCTATGGAGTCACGAATTGGAACATAGGAAGTCCTTTCAGAGGCTGTATGGGGATTGATATCAATTGTTACCGGTCAAAGACCGGCTGATCTAGGAATGAGAGTAATCTTGATGAATGCAGAGCGTATTCCACCGTCAAACCTGCGCCATCTCAAGAACTTCCCCCATACCAAATGTGACATACCATATCAGCACGTAAAGCGGCTTGTGACATTGTTAGCATATTTTTATGACAAGACCTTTGACACGTGTGAGACTCACCCAGTACGAAAAAATATACCTCCTTAAGCCTCCATTGCTCCAATTATGATGACCACTGGAACTCAATCTTTGTAATTGTGATTCATTGAAGTATGCGTCGTAAGCATGAGTGTCAACCAGTAAATTAACACCATACCAATCGTGATCAGGAGGATCAACGGAGAATGTTATGCTAGTCTCCACCAGCCCTTTAAAGTCATCACCGAAGGTGAATAACGTCATGTTGTTGATACTGTAATTACCAAAACCATTGTATTGCAAGGTCATGTTACCGTCGATCCCATGTTCCTTGTCCAGCTTCTTACCCACCAGTTGAATCGTACAAGGGTAAGCTTCAGGAACATCGGGCTTTTTTAAATGAGGAAAGCGCACGATGCAAGCCAAAGCGATGGACTTTTCATCGTATGACACCACAGATTCATTTGTAGGCTTCCAGAGACTTCTGAAATTCGGATCCACCGCATCCTCTTTCCATCGATCGCTGAGGACCCGAGGAGGGGTATCAGCAATGTCCTCAAATTCCTCGACGCTGTAGTAATCTCGGATAGTGAAGCCACTGTAGCAGAGCGCGCCGCTAGCTTGTCCAAAGCACTTATATTTCCAGAAGTTAAGGTCATCAAGATCCGGTTCGGCGTCAAACTATGAATGATCAATACACAATGACACCATGAGTTGCTAGTGAGAAGGTACCGTGTCATTATAGGATATCTTGTTCAAAGCTGCGTTCGTAAGCTGTATGACTGCTCCGAAGAGGAAAAGGGTCGTTGATGAGAAGAGCATGGTCAAGATGAATATAGGTCTTTTGTTTTCGTTGGTAATCCTGTACTTTGATACTGATCTAGAGAATGTAGTTTTGTCTTAATGATGTGGTGTGATGAAAGAGATTGAAGATGTTGCGGAATTCTCATGTTTTCATAGAGTTGAATCTCCAGGGTAACGGCAAGAGCAACTGGACTCTCGTCGACAAGGAGTAATTTTGGCAGGCACCATCGGGCACCATGACGCTCTCCACTTGAGCTTTGGAAACTCATCTTCTTTTTGCGACACGGACGTGACCTATCTTCTGTAGATGGCCGGAACACAGTCTCATACGATTTACAAAGTTGTCATGTCCAAGGGTCGACGGTATTCCTGCTGGTCTGCTTGCTTCGCATGATGGCGTCTTAAATGCTGCAAAGTGCATTGGGCTTCAGTCCAAATCTAGGACACTCGACGGTTACGGGAGGTCATTGGTGGTGACCGTCATTCGTGACCAGGAAACAATGCATTGTTATTATCATTAACATGCAAGGCTCTCCAGCGGTATTTTTATTGTCCGATCGCACATGTAAATCCATTGTTTAGCGTGACATCGAACAAGCAATGGACGTACAAAACCTCTTGTAAATCGCAATGCTTTGAATTCCACATTCTCGTCTTACCACGGATCTATTCCCAAACAGTCAAGCATGTGGACCCGTACCTTTTGTCTCCCAATTTCTCGGTAGCACCGCTGGATAACATCGATGTAGATTCCCAGCAATCCAGACCCGAGCCCAATGACATCGACGATATCCTCCAAGAAGTCAGAATGGAAAATATGAGCCTCGATCGCGCAACTTCGCCAACTTACTGGGAGACGGATTTGATCTCCGAGTATGAGGATCACCGTGCTCAACAGCCCTTATATACCGATGACGAAGCTCCCGGAACGACCCGTTACTTTCGGCTTGAGGAACCTTTCACAGATGAGCCGGACGGTGAGCCAGATTTTGGCGACAATCGAGACGACGATCTTGAAGAAGGGGAAATTCGTGAAGAGTCAGCGGCCATGCAGGATTTCCATGCTCGTTTCCCTTGGATGAGAAACGCGCCAAAAATTCCCAAGGAGCTGAAGGATTGGCCTGAGCCAGATGATCCTAAGTACACTGACCCCAATGCTCTACCTCTAGATCGCGACGCCAACGTACCACCGGCCATCGCATGGATCAACAACCTGATCTCGCTCGACGTACACGAGTTCGAAGATTGCGATGAAAAGGACAAGCAATGCCCAGTGTGTCTCGAGCCCTTCTGGGATGGTGAAAACAACGAGATTCCCCTGCAGCTACCCTGCGAGCATGTGATTGGCAGGGAATGCATTTGGCGGCTCTTCTGGCAGGTTGGTGACTCGGTACGTACCACGTGCCCTATTTGTCGGCAAGACCAGCCCATCGATCATCGTGAGCCCATTGACACTACACAGGGGCTTTCTGAGTTTTTGGAGCAGGTGAATTACGTGCTCCTGAGAATGGGCCCGCTGAGACTTGATGCGGAGAAGCGGCCCGAGTGGGAGAAGATCCGTCAGTACGTGCAGGAGCACATTGCTGAGGAGCAAACAAAGATCGAAAATGAAGCGATACTTAGGTATCATCTTGGCATTGAAATGAAGAACAACGACCTTGTCAATTTCGTCGGTCAGTGGATTCCTGATCAAGGCGAGAGGGCGGATTTGCAACAGAGGATAGCGGCGGCCATTCTGAACTGGAATGAGGCGCGAACAGTGCCGGTTCGTGCGCAAGATGCTGTGGAGGTCAATCGATTGATAGAAGGTTTACAGGAGAATGCGGATGAGGAAGCCACAGCTATGGACATAGATGGTTAGACACATAGACGCGATAGACAACGAATCTGAAAGTCCCTAGCAAACCAAATTCCTTCCGTCTTCTCTATCACCGCTAACTCCGTAGGCATGCTGACTCATCATTGATTCAAAGATATGATTGGTGACTCTCCCTCTCATAGTCACCGTATTCGCAAGCTCCCATGTACAGCATCCATAGCCTATTCAACCGTAAGCCTTAGACATGCAACCCTGACGAATGAACACCTGAGCTCGGTGCCGTCGGAGATCCTGAAAAAGTCCGACCTTCCGCTGCGCTTCCTTTTAATCCTCACCTCAACCCTTCACCAAAGACCACGACACCAGAAACCATGAAACTCATCATAGCAGGCGCCACCGGCTTCGTAGCCACAGAAGTCGTCCGCCAAAGTCTATGTGACCCTCGCATCACAAGCGTAGTCGCACTATCACGAAAGCCCATGGCACCGCCTAAAGACCTCGGCCCAGAGGGAGACGTGTCTAAATTCCACAACGTGATTATTGACGACTACGAGACGTACTCCGACGAAGCCAAAGCAGCATTCGCGGGCGCTGACGCCTGCATATGGTAACCCCCCCTCCCTCTCTTTTCCCTTTCTTCCAAGCAAAGCGAATCAGACAGCGACCGTTTCCCCTCCTTTCCCTCTCCCTACTCACTTCCCGCCAGGACCGTAAGTATCAACCCCAACAAAGTCGGCCGCACTCCAATGTCCGAAGTCACGCGCGTGTGCCACACCTGCGCAGTCGCCGGTCTCGAAGCCATGTATGCCGCCCCGCGCAGCAGCCCCGGGAACACATTCCGCTTCACGTACATGTCCGGCGTAGCGTCCGAGCGCGACGAGAAGAAGACGCCGAAGGCGCCTTGGTGGATGCGCGAGTATTGTCATATGAGGGTGAGTCCTACCCCCTGCCCCGATTCTCCATGCAGTCTGAAACGAGGGTGGTGGTGTAGGGACAAGCGGAAAATTCGGTACTTCAATTCGCCCGCACGCATGAGAATGTGGATGTGCAGATTCCGAAACCAGGCGCGATTTCGACGCAGAGTCAGAGTTATTTGAAGACGGCGGGGTTTTGGCTTATGGGGCTGGTGATTGGGCTGCCGCAGGTTAGGGTGGAGGATTGTGCAGCGGCGATTTTGGAGGAGGTGGTAGGCGGGTATGGGAAGGATACGTTGGAGAATGAGGATTTGGTGAGGATTGGGGGGTTGAGGGAGAAGGGGAAGGAGGGGAAGGAGGGGAGGGAGGGAAAAGGGCAGAAGGAAAAGGATGGAAAGGCGTGAGGGTGGTGTGAGCATGAGACGGGGGTTGGGGGGATGGAGGGGGTGTGGAATGATGAGAGAGGATGAACGGTTACGCTCCTACCCTTGCTGTAATACGTGTATGGCTATTCCTGCTATACTACTCAATTATTTCGAGTCAATCACACAAGAACGTCCTTACTCATTTGTACAGCCATGATTCGCGTGATGCAGCTGGTGTTCAGCAAAGTCTTGTTATGATATAAAATATTCAGGTGCATATTCCGATTGGAAAAGTAGAGACATGCATTCATAACCGCCTTTAGTACTGCAAGTCTCAGAAACCTAGCCTGCGTGATTTAGGCATGAATGAAAGCATATGTAACGAAGCCTTGAACAAATTCAATATAAGCGTGTGGAGCTACATCTCCGCTAGTGTCTTCGAGATCAAGTGGATGCTGTTCACAATGATAGCGTCGAGACCAGCTTGCACTTGTTTCTATGATATTTGTTAGTTGAGAGTCTAGAAGAGACTTCCGAGCACCGTAATACCTTAGCATGTTCCGGCTCGTCATTCAGTTCCCCCCAAGAAATGCATTGCAGCCCCGAGTCCTTGACATACTTCACCAAACCTGGACTCATCACAAATGGCTGCGACCGAGCAATAATGCCAGGCAGATTCCAGGCACGGGCGAAGTGGATTGCAGCTTGCAAGCTGTCCGCTCGAGCATCAGATGATGGTATGTGCCCGGCTTCTGTCAGGAAGAACACAGGGTAGACGTCTTGCTTTCTTGAGAGGAGAATGCAGATTTCGGGGCTGAAAGAGGAGAAGAATATGGTGCGATTTCCGGCAAGGCGGTCGACGACCGATAATATAGTGTCGACTACGTGGTTGACCTCGAGGGCGTAGGTGTTCATGCCCCAGTCGTGGGCTTCGAAAAGCATTGGATATTCTGTGGAGTAATTAGCCTGTACTGCCCTTTGACTCGGTTCTTGAAGCGTCATGGTGGGAACGTACTGATCTCAATATCGAAGCTCACGTCCTCAGGCAATTTCCTGAACATCTCCTCTAGGGTCATAAAAGACGATTGGATATGCTTGCTTCTGATATTGCCCTTGTAAGAGTCAAAGCCTCGGGGCTCGTTTAGTTTGAACTCGAAGGTATGCTTCATTCGTTCAATCAGGGTGTGGGCCTCTGACTGCTCATACTTGTTTAGTGAGTACGAGCGTCTTCTGGAATTTGCAGTGCTCGACTGCCCGCAGTTCTCCAGGTATCTTTTCTCAGCTAATGAAGCGATGTCGACAGGCGCCGATTGGGCTTTACTTATATGCATGAACTGCCAGATGTTAGCTTGCACAATACTTAGACTAGGTGACAGTAGAGAATACCTGCTCGAGCGTAAGAGCATGAATTGGAGCGTCAATGCCAGTCTCGCTCACGAGAAAGTCGTGATAGATGACAGGTACGTCATCTTTTGTGACTTGGACATCTATGATCATCAGCAACGTTATCTTCTCGATAGCTTATGCAAAGATACCAAACTAGGCACGTCAGCCTCTCAATGGATATGAAATTCCCAGTGTTCTTACCTCTACGTATGAGGCTCCTAAGTTTTTTGCGGACAGGAATGACTTCAATACAGTCAGCTACTACTCCACGGGGCGCTGTGAAGAAAGCCTGTACCTCAATGGTGTTCTCTCCAATCTGCAGCTGTCTACGACTAGGATCGTTCTCGCCAGTACCTAAAATTTCAGCTTCTTGTCATAGCTAGCAGATATATTCCGCCTACCCCTGTGACCAATGATTGTGGTCCGTCCACTATCTTCAAGCTTGACGGCTTGTTTTGGAGCTGAGATGGTTGGGTATAGTGGTTTCACTATGAGAACATAAAAAGTCACAGATCCAATGTACGTATGCATATCATTTTTAAGGATAGGTATCGTGAAATTTCTGACGAGACTTTCTTCTTTCTCTCCTAGCCCGCTCTTGAGACTGTCAAGAAGGGCGATGGCAACCCCTATAAGAGAGCCTCGCTGTCTTGGAATGCCCGTCGCTTCGTAGACGTTGAAAGCCAACCGTAAGGAATTGAGCTGGTCCGTCGTGAATCGCATTGGTGAGTTTGCCAGATCCTCCATGATTGGCAGAGTGATTACATGTTTGGCCGGATTTCCGTCACTGGCACAGACTTCGACCAAATAGCCTGCTTCATCTTTCGGAGTAAATGGACGTGGGTGAACCAATGGGCTTAGGTTGATAGCAGTGATAGGCTTGTCGGTGTCCAAGGCTCCTAGATTTACGAAGACTTGGGTATGTCCAGATGTTAAGTCGTCCGCTTGTTGACGTTGGGTCATTGGTCTTGCCGTTCTTTGAAAGATGGATAAATAATCGTCAAGGGATGTAGCGCTGGAGCTGAGGGTCGTCACTCCTGTCGTACTGCACATCCCTTCCACAGTTTCGATCATTTGTTCCCGTCCCTTGAAAGCAGCATGGTCTTTCGCCGTCCAGCCTTGACAGTCCCTTTTCGTAGGATCGGCTCCGGCTTGGAGCAATTGATACACAATGTCTGTATCTCCATTTCTGCAAGCCAGGATCAAAGCTGTCCAGCCATTGATGGCCTCACAGGCGTTCAAGTCCAAGTCTTGACCTTCAACCGCTTTGCCGAATAGACAGCTGACGACTGCGGACTTGCGCGACCGCGTCGCGAGGTAGAGAGTTGTTTCATTGTTGTGTGATTTGTAGTTCACGTCGGCACCAGCGAGCACTAGGAGCAGCACGACAATAGTCGAGTTGAGTTGCACAGCTATGGTTAGATATTCACCAAGCATCGCTTTCCGGGCAAACTTCTCCGGGTCATTCAGTTCTTTGAAAGAGTCGTTCAAGCTGACCAGCAACATTTGTGTTATTGGTATAGCTCCGGTAATAATCGCGAGTTTTAAAGGAGTGATACAGCCATCGTCCTCTAAGAGAGCTGCAGGGGTCTGCACATTGCAAAAGAGTATCCGAACTCGACGTAGACAGTGCCAAAGATATATGCACAAGTCATAAAGGCCATAGTGCACGGCGTAATGAAGTGGCGTACGCCCGACAGAGTCTCCAATCAGTAGCGCCATGCCAGTACTGGCCATCACGTCAATAAGATGACGAACGAGTTCTGCAGCTATATCGAGGCTGAAATCGCCCTTGCTTTCGACAGGATGAGTGCTATCGGGATCTGCTTCACTGCGAAATATGATCAAAAGTCGTGTTAAATGATCGGTCGTTGGGGTTATGAGCTCAATTAAGGATTTGAAGCAGTCCTTTGATTCCAGAGTGATTGATCTGTGCAACAAGATAGATAGTAAAATATTTGAGTTCTTGGTTGTCAATTTCACAGCCTTTGTCAAGGCTGTCACATCGTTGATGTTAATAGCTTCGAGCGCAGAGTTCAAAGCAGCATAATCTCCTCCTAGAGCAATGTACTTCCGTTGAGCTAGTGAAGTCTGGCATGCTGATGGCAAGATTGGCTGGATCAATCTGCTCTGAAAATCCTTGACACGCTTGAGAAGTTGCAACCCCTGAGTCTGAGCCGAGAAATCGAGAGACCACTCTGCGCCAGTGAACTTTGATACCTTACTCAGTATCTTCTCCTGATTGATGAAAGCAAAATATTGCAGCTGCTCAATGGCATTGTGTAGATCCGATAGTCTTGCGGTAAGATCCCAAAGCTCCAATACATCACCGGTGATGATAGGTTCTTCATTGCGAAGTCCATAATGCTCGCACAGTGACCCCAAATCCTGCCGCAGAAAGTGCAGCTTGCTACGGTAGAATTGATCAAAGCGGTCCAAGGATTCCGAGAGTGCGGCTTGGAAGTCTGGATTCGATTAGAATCATCATCATCTTCAACCTAGAGGGCTGACCTGAAAGATCTGCAATAGCTTTCTCGTCATCAACAGAAAGCTGCTGCTTGTAGAGCCTTTTCAGCCGACGATAGTCAATGTACCACGGAGCCCATTCTACAATCTGGAATTGGTGGAGGTTTTCTCCAAACTTCATATTTGCCACTAGGATAGATGGTTAAGGGATAAGGCACAAAGTGGAAGTGTCAAATTTAGATAGATTTGACTTAGCTGCTTTTTGCCACCTTGTACCACTTCACTTCTCGCTCACCTTATCCGCTACACCAATCAGATATGATGAGCAATACGCCAAATGAACTCTAAGCACCTCGAGAAAGCGACCCAAGCTCAGACCTTTCTCTAAGTAGCCGTTCTTTTATGAGACTGTCATGTCAGGCAGATCCTACTAACAGAAGACATCAATGTCCACCGCAGCTCCTAGCTCGGCCTGATGGCGTGCGACAACCACTGTTCACATTCCTTGTAGTAAGACCGCACATTGATCGCCTGAATGCGTAGAGTCTTTTTCTCAGGCTCTGGAATGCATTTCGCAAGAGCGTCAGCCCTATCTATCCTCTCATCAAACCCCCCAATCCACCGTAGCACCTACCTCAAATGCAACATCCACCCCCTGAACCATCCGTCAGAGGATGATAGACAACGACATTCTCAGGCCCCAAAAACCACTTCTCCCACGCCTCAGTAGTCTGGAGCCCCATGTATGCGAAACGCGACGTATCCCTGCCGCTGCCCCTGGGCGACCACGGATTACTGGCGTGCTGCTTTTTGACGTCGTCGATGCGGTAGTTGAACAGCACCACCTTCGGTAAGCGGGTGCGGCGCTGTGCGGTCTGTATCACGCCCACCAGAGCCTGAAATTTGGTCGCGGCAGCTTTCGAGGCTGAGAATGTAATTTCTGTTATGAGACCGGCCGCAAGAAGCGCTATGTTCACGCAAGCGACGAAGAGGTCATGCGGGCTGTTCCTGTCTGGAGCAAGCCCGGTCCATCAGACTGCATTCCTCTGTTCGATATAAATCGAGCTGTGACAGCTGTTAATGATTGTCTGCACGAGGCTTACTGCGCACACCTGACACTGAATAGTGCAGCTTCAAAGCGAGATCATGATATCTGTACCATCAGCTCCGACTTCGCCCTCGAAATACTTGTCGCCTGCTGGCCTTCGGTTCAATATCGTCCCCATGCGGGAGATGCCGTGCATATTCATCCGCCTCGTCTATCCTCGAGGGAACCAACCGTCTTGGCCTGCAGAAGCGTGCAGGATGGCTTCCAAGCTAGAGCTGTGAGATCAAGCCACCATGTTCATTTCTTCACCTGCTGGATACTACCTCCGTTGACGAGGTGTGATGGATACGGGACATTCCCCTCCGGAGAGGAATGGGATGAATATTCCCCCTTCTCGTCGCTTCCTCTACCCGAGTATAGCCTGTGCCATGACGTATCATTCCGGTATTGAACAAGCCGAAGCGGTGATGTGGTCTATAAAAGCCTCTTTTCCATCTGTTCGTCCATCTTTCGTACTAAACGACAGCTTACTCCATCCACATCCACATCCACATCCACATCCACATCCCAAGTCCCGCCACCATCTGTCTTCTTGCTTGAAGGATCCAAAAAGTCCCTCTCCCTCCCTCCCTCCCTCCCTCTGTATATTGAATTCTGGGTCAACAAGAGCATGTCCACCCCTCCACCCCCTCCTCCTCCTCGGCGAACGACGCCAAGAAACAATACAACGCAAACTGCCACTGCCGCGCCGTCGGACTAACCTTCTCCCTCCCCTCGCTTGAGGACGGCCACCAGGTGACGAAATGCAATTGCAGTATCTGCACCCGCAACGGGCATCTTTTGATCTACCCTGCTCCTGAAGACGTACGCCCCCAATCCCCCCCATTCACCATTCCCCTTCTCCTTTTCTTCCCACCTTTTTGTTTCTACTCTTCCACCTCTTCCTGCCCCCCAATTCCCCCTTTCCCCCTTTTCCCCCCTCCCCACCCTTACATCCCCTTCCTCTCTCATTTGGAGATCTATAACAAACCCTCACTCTTCTCCCAGGTCCAATGGATCCAAGGCTACTCGCTCCTAAAACAGTACCAGTTCGGGAACAAGAACGCGATACATAGGTTCTGCGGTGTATGTGGGAGCAGTGTATGTATCGAGGCTGTGGGGCGGGAGGGGGTGGCTGTTAATGTTAGGATGGTGAGGGGGATTGACGTGGGAAAGGTGGAGGTTAAGGAATTTGATGGGTGGAATTCTTTGGGGCCACAGTATGAGGGCTGAGGAGGGTGACTATGTATGGTGGGAGAGAAGTTGTGGATGGTGAGGGGTGAGGAGGGGAAGTGAGGTGGTGGTAGGCGAGAAGACGAAGGGGAAGGGGGAAGGGGGAGGAGGAAAGGAGGAGGTATTCAACAGCAGGCAGTAGAGGGTGAAGCTCGTGATGCTGAATATTTTTCGACAGAGGACATTATGCGGTAAAGATTGGGGGTATCTGTTCGTTCCTTACTCGCTCACTCGTTCGTGTAAATTGTGGTCAACTCTTCAATCAAGATCTTCGCTCTTTCGCCTCTCCACGTTTCTCTTGCTCTCAATCTCCACCTCCTGCGTGACTTGTATCCTCTTCAGCCATATATTAGTATTAGCCCATTTCTCATCTCTTTCTCTGCTCACCATCCCACCACCGCCTCTAACCCAGCCATTTGTCTCAGAGTCTCGACGCTCTTGGCTCACTTTTGCCAGAGCTTCTTTGCTAGCCCATGCACTCGTCACATGGTCATGATGGAACAGCTGTTTCTCGAGCGCATAGAAGTCTCGTCCTGGTGTAGGAGATGTGGCAGGGGAGCGAGCATTGTCGCGAGGGGAGGAGCTATTTAGGCGGGTAGGGCGGGCAATGCGTATTTCGCGCGATCTTCTATCAGTGGACGATGCGGAGGGGTATTGGGGTTGGTGGGTGATGAAGACGTAGGCGGCGCGGCCGAGAGGCTGAAGTGTTGGTAGGCAGGCGCAGGTGATGGCAATTGAGATTTCGACCGCGGACCAAGTGAGTGGTCGTGCGTAAGACCAGGTGACATCCGTTTGGGAGAGATTGAGGATTGACCAGGTACGAAGGATGGCGGCTGCGACGATACTAGGGGCTGTCAGCTTGGAAGACCGATAGAGAACCTGGGACGCTCACAAGCCGCCCAACAAGAATATGGCAGTCAACGTGAGCTTCTGTCGGACCGTGAGAGCAAGATTCCAAATTGGCGTAATCGGGAGGACGAGGATCGCAAAGTCCAGGAGGACGTTTGTGATGGCAGTACCGAGCAGCGAGGCATTGTTGTTGATGCATGAACTGTCGTGGATAGTACGCTCCCATGCAGCTTTGATAGGTATGCATTGAAAGATATTGACCAGCGATGTAGCCACACACCACGCGCAGACAAGCCCAAGTACTATCCAATTTGCGAGTCGAAAGGATCTGCTGACGCCGAAGATACGGTGGTAGAAGAGGAGGATAGAAATCTTGATGAGAGTGATGCAGACAGCGTAGAGGACTTGATAAGCAATTGTGGTCTATTAAGTATTTTGTCAGTTCAACATCCTGACATGTACAGGGAGAGGTCTTACCCTGTACACCAGATTCACACTAGATGGCTGCACTGTCTCAAAATGCCTCCCAATGCCATTGTTGGCGTCGACGAACGTAATTGCGGAACATGTGTATGATATGGCTAGGCTCGCAACGATGATCAGGTCATCCCACCAGAATGGCAGCGCTGACAGCTTTCTGGACAGCAAGCGTAGAGCGACAGCCATCGTTGCTAAAACCAACAAGGCAGCGCAGACCCCAACTACTGTACGTGTTTGACTGTTGCACATCTCTTGCATGCCCGGTAAAGCGCACATATCGTTCATTTCTGCCATTGAAGTCGCCAGGCCCGCTTGAGGAGATTGAGAGACAGCCGAAGCTATATCCATTCCTCCCATTGTGGTCGTGGGAGATGAGATCATGGACGTAGACATCGTAGGCATGGGCATATTCATAGATGCTGTCTTCATGATCATGTTCATGTCCATCGAGGATGTCGAAGAGGGCGTCATGCCCGACATATTGTCCATATTCCTACTCAATCGTTCAGGCAAGTTGTAAGGGCCGGAGAGAGAGTGCTAGGAAGCACGAGAAGCAGGGTTTCGAGCTGCCTGAAGAACCCACTGCATTACGACTCGACGCGTGGCGATAACGTTGAGATGTTTGAGATATGTAGAGATGTTTCTGCAGCCCTGAGCCCTTATGAGAGCTGCCCCTTGCATTGACAATCTTCCCCGCCATAATTGCGAGATACTCGTCGCGCCACAATACTCCGAAGTGTAACGGTCTCGACTCCATTTTGCGAGCGGTCATAGACCGGATATTTGACGGATTTCTTCATTCAAACAGGGTCGAAAAGGTTGGTCGGCAGAAAGAGCCATGACCATATGGTCGAAGGTTTTGGTAGGGTGAGGCAAAGCCCATCATAGGGTCTGGAGGTCATTGCGTGCCGCTACTGGGTCGGCTCTGATGGCGGCGTGACCGTGGGTCTTTCCGCTGCTGGGTCGACGCTCGGTCGTATTGGAACTTTGATTAGCTGGGTGATCATGGCACCGCAAGATAGCGGAATAATGGATGTAAAAAGGTGGAACAGACAATCACGCGTATGAGCTTGCTTAAACGCAGCAGATTTGCAGTCATGCCCCTAATCAGATAGCCTAACCGCATGAAGAAGAAATATTATCTCCGGGGCTAATCTCCTAGTAAGGTAATTTTTGAATCCTCGAGGATTCAATTGTCAAGGTCAAACTGGATCGCCTGTAGTCGGTTCTCAACGCCGTCAAGCCATAGAGGAACCGCCCAGCCACATGGGACCGGTCACCTTGTCCAAATGAGGCAAGGAGAGTGGCCGACGGTACCTCAAGGAATACTGGATGTAGGATAAGTAATTGCGGGTAGAGGGTATCATATCATAACGCTACCTATACACAATGAAGAGAACGCTCGCTCGCTCGCTCGCTCACAGTACGCAAGTTCATGAATGGGTACCACATCGGCCAGTCAGATGTCCGATATGTCGCCGTCTGCGCTTCACGCAGGTAATTCTAATCTCTCAGGCTTCCTCTTCACAGTTCCCGTGCCTGCTTCCACCACCCCAGGCCCCTCTGCAGTCTGGTCCGTCAACTCAACCGGCCCTCTTCTCTCATCCTTCCCATGTAATTCACCCACGTAATGCCCATTTGGGTCTTTGTAGTCCTGTGGCCTTTCCCCTTCCCCGCGGATATCACCAGGGCCCCCGTACTTGTACATTTCTTCTAGGGGCGCGCCCTGCGCTTTTGTGTAGTCGTAGTTTTGTTTTTGGCGTTGGCGTCGTCGGTAAAAGAACCAGGCTAGGAGGGCGAGGAGGGCTATCAAGGCAACGCCGCCGACGACGCCGCCTGCTATTGCGCCTGTGTGGGAGGTTGAGGGGGCGGGGGAAGAGGAGGATGTGGTGTTGGCTGCTAAATTGGGTGTTAGCTTAGGTTCTGATGAGGGAGATTGCGGAGTGGTGGAGAGGGGAGAGGGGGCAATGGGGAAGGGAGACGTACAGGGCGTGAAGCTTTTCTGGTTCATGAGGGCGGAAACTTCAGTTGTGAGGTTCTTGATATCGGCTCTATACCCCCATTAGCTACATCAGATATTGATGGTGCGTTCTAATCATACTGTGATTGTTGCCCTGCATAATACGTCTTGATCGCGTCATTCTGGTGATACGGCGCAGGAGATGCTGTGTAGTGGTCTGCCCATTCGAAGGTCGAAAGATCAAATATACCGAGTCCCTGCGTCAGAGTATCCTTACTTGTCATCTTGCTCCGTGCTACCGCGTTCACGTTTGAATTTGGGTCTGGCGGGTTCGTGTCCGCGCCTCCAACGACCAAAATCTGGCTTTCGCCCACACCATGACACGTCATAGCGTGCCGTGGGTTACCTGGCGCGTAGGATACTTGGGTCCAGTGGAATGCGGGAAGAGTAAGGATGTGGATGGTATCAAAGGGCACGGCGGAGGTGCCCAGGTTGCCATTGCTGCCTCCGTAGACGAATATTTCGTAGCTCTGCTCATTTGACGGAGCGCCTGCCAAGCAGAAGTCTACTCTCCGCGCAGGTGCAGCGCCCGTTGTCGACTGGTTGTACCATTTTGAAGCAGTCGGGTCCCAGACCATGACGATGGAGAAGTCGGCTAGGACGTTATTCTTAAGATCGCCACCGAATGCTAGGTGTACCCCTCCTGGCCCAAAATTGGGCACGTATTGCATGCGACCTCTCGAACGAGGTTGGCCGGTACCATCGGAGCTGATGTTTGAGAATTGCTTCGCATTCATGTCGAATTTGATCATGCCCGACATGGGAGGCTCGCTGTAAGAAGCGCCCCCCAGCACCCAGGCGTTGTTGGGGCCGTATGACTGTAAAGTCGATGTGACCCGATGGATATCATTTAATGTGCTTGCTTTTGAATCGACGGTCTCACTCCATGTGCCCTGTCCTGTACCATCTAGCTTCAAGGCCCAGAGTGAAGGAGGTCCTGGGTCTGAACCTCGATCGTAGGATGGTGACTCGCCAGCGAAGCCTGAGTAGAGAGTAGTTTCGGCTTCATGATACCAAAGCGACCCAAAATTGAGGTTTGGTACTCCTGGGATCTTAGAGATTGTATTGAACACTGCCGTCGCATTTGTCCAATCTTTTGAGAGGTCGAGCGATAATGTGGAGGTAGTGAACTTGTACTGCGGGGTACCGTTATTGATGTAGGAGAATTGACCTCCATCTACATAGAGGAAGTTGCCAGCTATGGCACTGGCATGAAAAGCTCGCCGCAGGAACTTGTCGCTCGATATGACGCCCGGTTGTCCTTCGTCTGCTGATCGGGCCTCCAAATTTTCATTTTCATTGGCATATTGTGGTTCAGGTTGAGGTTCAGGCGCAGGGAAGGCAGTTGATAGCAGAGCAAACGCGATTGCAGACAGCAGCACTTGATGTCTCATCATGGGCACTCTGGCTGTCGGCGTAGGAGAGCTGAGGGAAAGCCATGCCGGGCAGGATGCTTATGTATATGTCGGCGTTGGATAGAAGATACGGGCAAGCAGAATCCTACTGCTAGCTTGAAACAATGCTTATACTGAGGCTGACGGCTATGATTGGATTGGCCGTCATCTTGGTGGTTGATGGACTGGGATAGGCGACGAAACTTCTTTGAATAGTTTGATTTGGGGGCGGGCTGAGCTCATCCTGCCCTAAGCGAGCCCAATAAGACGCTGATCTGGGGGCTGAGCCGGGTCCTGCCACGCGCGATGGATTGGGCAAGATTGGGTATAGAAGTGCCCTAAGATGGAGGAGGAATAGTTCTAGGTTGACTCGGTTGGCTTCATTTGTAATTATTGCAGAGAATCTCTAGGAATCTCGGTGTTTGTTCACTACTACTACCGACGAGAATCCTGCTGAGGTCAGGATGGAGGATCGCTCATCCGCTGTCGCAAGTCTCTACCAAACATGGGCCGGAGGGTTTCTGCAGCGGCGTCTGCAATGCAACCCACAATCAGCCCTAACGATGGCTGGCGTGCGAGGAAGTCCATCCTTCCACTTCCGACAAGTTTCATCACAACATGTTTCATGCATGCGTGTCTAGGTCTTTGCTGGAGTCACCTCACCCCCCAGGATCTTCCACGCTGTCATGCTAGGGTGCTTATGACAAGTACGGGGACGCGATAAGATGCTGACTCCTGCATGCATGATATTACTCATACCTTTCATTGCTCAAGTGTTTTCGTCTTTCGCTTGACGTTGAATAGAAGACTAGGTTGGAAGAAGACATTTGATAGTCGTGCTCGACGATGGTACAACCACAACGTGGCCACGTCAAAGACGTCGCTATCATCGGCGCCGGGCCGTCCGGCCTGGTGGCCGCAAAGTAAGCTCAGCAGGTTGCCTGACCTATGGTCTGAATGCTCAGAAGCTTCAGATTTTTACTTGCTGAAAAGGCCTTTTCGAATGTGGTTATCTACGAGCAGCGGGACACCGTTGGAGGCACCTGGAATTATGCCCCACTTGCTTCTCAATCACATAAGATGAGCAATGGTGACTCGAGTCAGCATGTTTCGACGACGGCGAAGGCCGTCGTAACAGCCAATTTGCCCAAGTATAACACACCGATGTATGAGGGTCTGGAGACCAATGTCCCACATATGCTGATGGGATACTGCGACACCCCGTTTCCGGAAAACACGAAGCTGTTTCCTGATCGCGAATGCGTCATGCAGTATCTAGAAGACTACGCGAGCGAGCTGTCGACTATCATCAAATTTAAGAACGAAGTCTTAGCGGTCAAACCAACTTGCAAGTCCGGGTCTGAAGGTTGGGATCTTACAACAAGAGCTAGTGACAATGGCAATGAGGCAACTCAACATTTTGACGCAGTAGTGATCGCCAATGGGCACGGCAGCTCGCCATCATTACCCCCCGTCCAAGGTCTCGATGAGTGGGCCCAGCGACTCCCAGAGTCAATATGCCACTCCATCTCCTTCAGAAACACCAAACCTTTCAAGAACAAGGTGAGTAATCCAGCCCCTCCCCTTCCCAAATTGCATCTGTAGGAGTAAGTACCACCACTAACCTCACCCGTCGTATCCACAGCGCGTCCTCCTCGTAGGCGGCGGCCCCTCAGCAGCAGACATCTCCCACCAACTCACCCAAGTATGCGCTCTTCCCCTCCTCGCCTCCCGCCCCAAAAAATCCCCCTACCACCTCGACGAACCCAACGAACGCGCCTACCTAGAACTCGCGACCCTAATTCCCGAAGAGCGCGCCGCCGTGTTCAAAGACGGCAGCATCGAACGCGACATCGACATCATTTTCCTCTGCACGGGCTACACATATGATTTCGATTTCCTTGGCGCTGCAGATCCGGCGGTCAAAGCAGGGGAGGGGATCGGGGCAATTCATCCGTATCAGTATATCTTCCACGTCCAGCACCCGACTCTCGCGTTCGTGGAGACGCTGGAGCAGATCATTCCGTTTGCGATCGCGGAGGCGCAGGCTGCTGTTATTGCACGGGTGTGGTCTGGTCGCCTTGCACTTCCTAGCTCCGAAGATATGCAGGGATGGGTGGATGGTGTGATCAGTAAGAAGGGGCCTGGGAGGAAATTCCACGCGACCGAACCGCCTTCGGATTTGCAGTATATGAAAGAGATGTATGAATGGTGTCGCAAGACGGAGGCGAGCGAGAAGGGGAAGCTGCCGAGACTGTGGGATGATTATTGGTGCTGGTTGCGGATGGCAACGGCGGATATCAAGAAGGCGTTTGTTGCGAAAGGAGAGGATAGGGGGCAGGTGGTGGGGTATGAGGAGTTGGGCTTTCATTTCAGTGGCTGATGGAGTCACTGCAAAGGAGCCTGACCGGATCTGCTTTCTGGGTGAAAAGGCATTTTTGTAAATACCTTCCTTGCCCAACATAGCATGCGTCCTTTCACGCTATGATGAAAGTCTACATGCTGCTTCGTGGGTATCAATGCTCTGATCACCCGCCCCTCCCCCCACCCCAAAGTCTAGGCTTCGTGGATTTCTATCAACGGACAAATCGCTCTTGACAGTCTTCATATCATACTATACGTTCGAGTCGCTTGCCATCTGCAGAGCTTATCTCCAGCAGGCACACTCCGCTTGCTGGGCAGGCGCCAAAGCAAACAGAAGCTATGATAGTGTCAACCCGCGAGATCGCCATGCATACTGCTCCTAGCGGATGGAACTGGCCACCATGATGGTCCTACTAGTTACGTGGATCTGCTTTGCTTGGGCGGCGGGTGGGTTCGGGCGGCGAGATCGGAGATATGCCCCTCCCCCAAGGATATCGGATGATTGTAATGTTTCTGATGACCGATGGGGTACATATGACCGTAAGGTATCTTCAATTGGTGAGGGAGCTCGTGATCATAGGGTATTGCGGTTGGTCTGGTCGAGAATAGGCATTCTCAGGGGCTGGATGGAGAGGCGATACCCGCAAGGATAAGGCTGGGGAAGGTGTTGCATGGCGTTGGTGGAGCGGCTCTGTCCATGGACACCATATGGCGTCCATGGATACCGACGATTTTTGATGGATGTATGGTATTGGTTTCATAGACCCTTAGAAACTAAGGAACACCCCCTAAAACTTGTAGGGTTGATATTTTAAAGGTTTTTCAAACCCCTATAAATTTTAATAAATTATATATTAATATAAATGCGTAATTAAATACTAAAATATATATCTTTTAAAGGCCTCTTTGATGTTAAAGATATTGATTTTCACGTATAAAAAGTTGTCCATGAAACCAGTACCATATATCCACCAGAACCGTCGGTATCCATGGACGCCATATAGTGTCCATGGACACGGGGTACCCACCAACACCATGCAACAAAGGGAAGGGTTAGATATGAAACCGTGCGAAAGGCTTCCTATCCAACTTTTCCCTACGGCTTCTTTGCCTTTCCCTTCTGTGTCCAAGGCCCATTCTTCACTGTTTTCTTTGCCATGTTCCCTTCTTGCCTTTTTACCGCTTCAGTCGTCTCATCCCTTCTCTTTATCCTCAACCTCTGCCCTCCACTTCGTGAAGCGGATTCCGACTCGCATCAAGCTCGCTTTTCATGACTTGTCCTTGTAATTCGTGCCAGTTCTGTCGGTCCCCCGGGGGCCGTGGAACCCCTGCAGTACCCGTCCCTCCCTTCCCCTCCTCTTGTAGTCCTTTCGATGCATCATCTGGAGGAATAGTCTTCTGCTGGCGTCGCTGCCGTTTCTTCATCAAGAATATTATGATTGAAAGTAGGACTACGCACAAGGCTCCTAGGGCGACACCGACTCCTATGCCGGCTTTGGCGCCCGTGCTGAGACCAGAATTGGAGTTGGGAGTAGACGACGATGTTGGAGTTGACGAGGCTGATGATGACGGCAGTGAAGATGTTGAAGGGGACGATGTACCAGACGATGCGGTTATGGACGTTGACGTGGAGGTGGAAATGGAAGTGGAGGCGAAGTCTGCCAACTTCTCTGGTGCGGGAGCTTGAAAGGTCTCGCTTGTTGGGGCGCTGCAGTTTGGGACTCCACCATTATCACTGTCGGCCTTGCAACAATGCCAGAGGCCGTCGGTCTCGATGTACACAATATCAGGTTCCGCGTTACCACCTAGAAAAATGGAATAAAATTCTCTCTGTTAGCATTCTGCCACACGAGTCTCGGAGTAGGCGGCAAGGGGGATAGACTGACTGCAAGTCTGCAGACACGACGGATCTTTGCCCGACTCGTCTGTGCAGCTGGCTATGTAGTAGCCTGACAGACCCGCTCCGCCGCGTGTGAAGTGGCATATGTTGTCTTCCAGACACTTTTCTCCTTTCCTGCAGCACTGCGAGAATCCATTGCTGGTGCTGCCACATGGTATATCGCCAAAATCACTGACATTGCGGGGTTCGTTGAGAAGGGTACGAAAGCAGTCCGTTGTCATGCCGAGGATAGTTTATCTTAGGATTAAAGTTGCGTGGAGGGTGATCGGCGTCGGTTTGAGCTGAGTACTGCGGAGGAAAAGGAGATGCCTCATCTCGCGCCATGGTCAGGCTACAGCTTCCGCTAGAGTTGTGGTGGCTGGGCTGGGCTTTGCTAAGATGAGATTGTCGAATCCTTCAACGGTCGCAGGATTGGCGGCACCCGGGCTATCTCGATAGTTCTACGGCGTATGCGGGGAGGGTTTCGATTCCGACATTCAACTTTATGGAAAGGTAGCCTACACATGATGCTCAGGATCTTACCCATTGTACAATGAGGAGCTGACACTCCCTCATATTATGGGCATGTCTACCGACTGTGGTAAAACAAAAATAGTTGCGTCCGTGCGTTAGGGAAGCCGGTGCACCACGGAACCCTAATTCTACCCTAAGATCCAGGAACATTTACGGCACTTTAGTAATTCCGAATGCCAAATTATTGTCAAACTTTGCGTGCGATTTCTTCACTTCAGTGTTGTAGTTACTCCAGGAGCATGCACTTTATGAGTTTCCGCGACGATTGGAGATATCGCCCAAAGGCTCACCAGTACGTTACGTCACATCTACATAGGTGATGGTACACAATGGGGCTTAAGAACATCAGGCGATGGGAACAATCATGTTTATCATTTCCCTCATAAAAACACCACCATCAATCTCTCTACTTGACCCTCTCTCTCAATTCTTCCTCGACCTATAGCTCAACCCCATCGATACACCACCCTAACCCTTCGTCCCCATCATCCCCAAAATCGGTCCAAAAGCCTCCCTCCACTTCCCAGCTCCCATCTCCGCAAACCCCACGGCTACCTCCCCACTCCTCGGCGCCTCGAACCTCTCCATCGCCGCATCCAAATACTGCTCCAGCCCCATCGGCTTGACCGCCTTCTCCTCTCCGCCCTGACTCTTGACCAGATCCTCACGATGCTCCATGTCAAGCGCAGTATCCACATACGGCGGCGCCAACTCCAGCACACTGACGTTCGTGCCGTGCAGCTGCGCACGCAAAGAAACGCTTAGCATATGAATGGCCGCTTTAGTGGCGCAGTAAACAGGGAACACGGGCGCAGGCACGAATGCCAGGCCAGATGAGACGGTCACAAACGTCGTTGGGCGGTTTTGTGCCAGGAAGAAGGGTATGACTGCGTGCGCGATCACGGCTGGCGCGGTGAGGTTGGTGCTGATTTCCAGTTGGATCTCCGCCATGGAAGTGCTCGTGGGGTCTTTGTAAGTGAAGAATTTCTGGATGCCTGCCATGGTTATCACGGTGTCGATATCTGGGTAGGTCGTGAGGAGCTGGGAGATTTGGGTGGGGAGCGTGGTGATGGAGGAGGTGTCCATTTCTTGGATCTGCAGGCCGGGGAGCTCGCGCTGGAGGGATTGCAGACGGAAAAGGCGCCGGCCGGTTGCGATGATTGTCTTTCCTTCGGCGTGGAAGCGGCGGGCAAAGCCTTCGCCGAGACCGGAGGTGGCGCCGAGGATGGCGATGGTGGAGAAATTAGCGGACATGATTTGGTGTGGTAGATGGGTGATCAAAGGATGGTCCAGGCTCTATTATGCTGGTGGTTCAAGACGCTCCTGGAGAAATTGAAGCTGGACGACATCGTCCCTTTTATGGATTGCTCTACCACCTATCTACGGTCCTACGGTCTGAGATTCCATCTTTAACACCGAGTCGTCGACGATGAGATCATGTCTTCGGCTCAATATCTGGCCTTCTGAGCCAATTACAGTGAGGCTCGGAGATACCGCTGTCGTTAAAATGTCAGAAATTGGCGTTGCAGCTTTCACCAGAGCTACTTTGGGCATGGCGGCCTTCACCTGACGACGTCCGACTCCCACACCGAATCATTGGAACGGTCGGATTTCAAACCAGACAGCCCGGCGGTAGATGTCAATTTTGTGGGATGCAGAATAATTGTGGGTCGCCAGGCCATTTGCTGATCCCCACAAGATTTTGCTCTTGTGTGAAGACGACCTGCAATGGAGATAATCTGTTTATTTCGAGGCTCTATACCATCGCGTCTTCACATAGTGGACACGTCGAATCTGAGATGGGTTACCAGCTTAGAAATCATCAGCGAAGACCAAACTTACGCCTCAAGCGAACTTTCTGCGGTGGATAGTGTCCTGCTCCTAACGTCCCAAGGATTTCCCCACATCTATTCGTAGCAAACTCAATCACCGCCTTTCTAACTCGAGTTCTTCAAAGTGGACATGCACATTGAAACTTGAGCATCTTCATCAAGGCGCTTCAAGAAAACGCAAATGTCTTGGATGGGGCTGTCGGACCAGTCATCTTGCGCCTATTTATACCCTTCGCTCAAGGTCTATGTGCTCGAATGCGTGTCATCTCTTAGGGCGAGGATGCTTGATAAAGATCATGGGACACCGACAGAGCCGTAGCCAGGAACATCTTGTGGCGAATGAACATGAGGCTTTTTGAATGGGCAAGCATACCTATGCTGCTTCTTGTTCACTCCGTGGAGCTTGTGGGCCCCTCTCCCATTGAAAGCCACCACAACCTACGACGGTCCGGGCTTGAAGACTCTTCCCACAAAGCCAGGGCAGTAAGAGACAACGGGGAAACGAACACTACGGCAACTGCTATCACAATGCCATCTATGCGGATCCAGGTCGATTATAGTTACGATCGTTTCGAATATCATCCTGAAACTGTCTACATGGGGGTTCTATACGCACTTTCGCAGCTCGCGGTACAAAACTATGATGAATACCTAGCCCCAGACCATCAAATTTGGCAAGCAGATGGACTCCTAGTGTGCGGGCTAGATTATGACAACCGGAATGGATTGACTTCCATCGCAGATCTTGTCGAGAGTCTTTCCTATCTTGCCCACTCATTCCGGAGAGACAATCGTTTCTCACCTACGACATTTCATATCTGGGTTAGCATGAATATGGTCGGCACCGGTAGACTCGAATTAATTACCCAGCAAAATAGTAATAGCAGCAGTGATATCCCGGGCAAAGCACAGATCAGCCCAGTCTCTCTATCCAGGAGAAACACCACCTCGCTGAGCATCGAATCACCTGTCAGAAAGGCTTCTGAGCTTCAACCGGATGGGGGGCGGACAGGATCCACGAACGAAGACATCGCCTATAGCTACAATCTGATCCCCTCCACACAAGTTCTTTCCCCAACGGCAATCTTCGTTCTTCTCGCCGCAGCTCTAGCTGAGCGGGCACGGCTGTCGATTGCATGGGAGATACGAAAATCCTTCACTATCTGGAGACGCGCGCTCTCCATCAAGCTCAATGTCAACCCAAACCCGCGATCTCCTAAACCCTTGACGAATGGAGCTCTGATCGGAGGTCTCTACTACGCGGCAAAGACAATGTATACACTTGACACGTAAGTCCATTCTTTGCAATGCACTTTTCGGGCAGACTCTGGGAGACATAACCCGAAACAATCTTGGTTTCCACTTTGGCTGAAGGGTGCCGATTCACTGATATCAACGACTTACAACCAGCAGGTACGGCGCCATCGCCGTCCACATCTCAATCGACGGGCAAAGCGTTGGCGCATTCGAGATCCTGTACATTGACGACGGAGACTCTTTCTGATCATGCCTTCAAGACCACCACAACCAACCGCTGGTACATAAAAGTCACAAAAGCAATTACGCAAACCCCGGCACCCAAATGCCGCGCCCACCCCCAACTCCAACTCCAAGCACCCAATCCATCTCTCCCATCATATCAGTGCTACTACTGCTTAGCTTTCCCCGCATTTCACTAACATCTATCCGGCACCCGTCATCCGCCCCATCTCCACAACTCCGAACCCAGTCGTGCTCTAGTTCCACAATGTTGGTGGTGCGCTTGGCGCTCCCTTAACCATTTGCGGGGGAAGAACCGCTCCCCATTTCCGCTAGGCCGAGAGAGTTACTTCTTCCACCTCCCTAACTCCCACTCTGTCTGAGGTACCTGGCCGCTCGAGCCATTTCGTCCGTCTGAGACTAGCTATACCGAATCGGGATTTGAGGTCGTGGCCACTTTCCTGAAAAGGGCCTTGCGAATCATGCGGGTGGTTGGTATTGGGAAGAGGGGAGGAGGGGAGGGAGCTGTACCTATTATTGTTGCTCCTCACACCCACCCTGACGTTTACTTTTGAGCCCCTCTTTCTTCTGGTGAAGGTTGGGAGGGGGGGTTGGTTGTTATATACAAAGATGTGCCATCGCCGCTCTCGCGTCTAATCCTTTGAGCTGCCTGCCTGCCAGTCTGCTTTCTTGCGCACCGCCTGCTTCTCCATATCCTGAATCCTCTGCATCACCTCTACATCGTCCTGAAACCGCTACCACCACCCAAGCGCTCACCTCACACCCTTTCCCCCTCCCTTGCCCCTCCCCTCCTCCCCCCCCCCCATACACCCAACCCCCTCCCCGCAAAGATGGCCAACACCAATGGCCCCAACGGCACCACGAACGGCCTCCCCCTAGAGAAGGATTTCTCCCACACCGACGCCCTCGAGCGCGTCCGCACCGCCGGCTCCGTCAGCATCTCCCCCGAGCTGTTCGAGAAACTGTATTTGAGTCCGCCTAATAAAGCCACTGGTGACTTGAGGAAGCGGTTTGGGAATCCCACGCCTTTGTAGGTTTTTCTCTTTCTTTGAGACTGTTGGGGATGGGGGTGAGGAGGACATGGGGGGGGGGATGGGGGATGGGGGATGGGGAGGGGGGAGGGGGAAGAGGAGGGGGAGGGAAAGGGGAAGGGTGTGGTGAAGGGGGATGGGAAAGGGGTGCTGCGGTGGCGAAACCATGAAGAAGAGCAAGGACTTTAATAAGAGGAGAGTAAAGAAAGTGGTGTAATAGAGAGGCAAAGGGAAGGGGCAGGGGGGAGGCAAGACAGCTATGCTGGGTACACACGCTGACAGTCCTGAAACAGAGCACTCATCGGATTCCTCCTCAGTCTGACCCCGCTATCATGCGACCTCATGGGCTGGAGAGGCGCGGGGGGAAATGGTGCTGCTAGTACTGGTACGTTACCTCCACCCCCATCCCCTCCCGTGGTCACTGCGTTTCCATCAATCAGCGTGGAGTCGTGGGTGATGGTGGTCGTCGCCTCTCTTTACCTATGCCTGGCTGGCTGGTTCCAAGAAGAATATATGGATATTGACATGTTATGGTGGTGGGCACAGGGGTCTACTTCCTCTTCGGCGCCGTCCTCATGATTCTCGGTTCGATCGGTGAATGGATCATTGGAAATACTTTCCCTTTTGTTGTGTTTGGGACTTTTGGTATGGCTTCCCCTCTCCCCTCTTCCCCTTTCCACTCCCCCTCCTCGCCCCTCCTTCTCCCATAATACCGACTGATATCCAAAAAGGAGCATTCTGGGGCGCCTTCGGTATGACACTCGTCCCCTTCTTCAACGCCTATGGCGCCTACGTCACCGACCCCGCCATGGCAGAGCCGCAGATGGGAAATCCAGGGAACCCGTTGGGATTGCAGACGCCGGCTTTTAATGCTAGTTTTGCGTTTTTCTTGTTGTTCATGGGTATGTCTATCCTTATTTCTTTTCTGCTCCACCTTTTACAGGTCGCTCTGTTCCATCGCTTTGCATGGCGTAAATTGGAGCTCGTGCTAATCGGGGCACAAAGGGCTCATCTGCTTCCTCTTCCTGATACTGAGTCTAAGGACGAATGGCGTATTCTTCATGATCTTCCTCTCGCTTGTTGGTGCGTTCAGCTGTCTGGCGGCCGCGTACTGGAACCTTGCGCTCGTGTATGAGAATGCTATGAATGCTTCTGCGGCGACGAAGGCTGCGAACTTGACTGTGGTATGACTTCCCCTCAGCCTTCTGATTGATGTGATGCTGACTTGGTGGTGGCAGGCCGGCGGCGCATTCGCCTTCGTAACATGCATGTGTGGGTGGTACTTGCTTTTGGCCATCATGCTGGGCAGTCTAGATTTCCCGTTTAGTCTGCCGGTTGGGGATTTGAGTCGCTTTATTAAGGGCGGGAGTGAGAAGATGAAGGGGAGTGATAATGTTTGAGTTGGGGACATGGAGGTGGAGTTTTGGGTCTCACGATGTGATGCTGAAGTAAACGCGTTTTGAGCGGTTGACAATCATGGCTCGTAATGTTAGTTGGTTAGGCAGTTGGTAGCTCCATTGTTGAACGTCTTTTTTTGGCGCGTAGTACTCGCCCATGGAGATATCGTATCATTAACTCCTCGAAAGAGCTTACACTATGTGCAAGTGGAGTGCGGTATCGATCATCAGTGTAGAACAAAGCATCCATCACGCTTTCGACTCCAGATCGTTGATGAAATCGACGAACATTCCCAACCTTCGCCGATGAATTCACAATGCCTTACCTCCTCCCACTTGACTAAATCTCCTAACGGAGGATACTCTCTAATAGCCACTTTACTCTTTTTCAGGTTGTTCCGTATGCGGGAAAGTCTGGCTGGAGGCACATTCCGTAGATTGAGAGGTCTTAAGATCCAATTCTTGATGTAACGAAAGTCAACGAGGATGTCTCCTTCACGTGTCGAGTTTGAAACAAGGAGACAAGTATGCCTGTCAGTCGTGGCAACCCGTTTCCCATCTATCAAAGATCGAAAGGGACTCTCATTACGTAGCATGTCTAACAGAAGGGGTTCCACAAGTGTGATTGAATCCAACGCCCAAATTTTTCTCAGTATACTACCCAAAGAATGATGCTCTTTCAATATGGAGTTTAACAAGTTCTGATGTTGAAAAGCCCATGCTTCTAAAGAACTCAGAGCCTCGCGCCCTAAGCTCTCACGCCATACATGGTAGACGTGTCCGCACAAGTCTTTGAGCATTGCCTCAGATTTAGTGCTATATTGAAAGACAAGCTCACTTTCCTTTAGTTGTCTCAGTCTATCTTGAAATTGGCGTCTCTGATCAATGGGAATGCAATTGACAGATAGCTCACAACTCACGGTTCGGATGACGCCTTTCTCCTGACCACCAAAAGCAAGTACCGGAGGTTCTCTAATCGCTACATAATGTTCCCAGTTTTGCGACCCTAAGGCTTTTCTAGAGATATATTCAGTGCTGTTTTGACCTGAGGAGCTGGACCAATCTGGCACCCAAGACGGTAGGTCTGGCATACGTTGTTGATTGGACAGGGATTCTGACACCAAGGACAGTAGTCTGGAGTAATCATGATATCTGATCGCGCAGCAAGCAAAGTCTATGTAGAGATCCACGCATGACTTCTTGTAGTCGATTGCTAGATCTGGGTCCAGAACTTCTGAAGCAACTCCTAGGAAGGCGTATATCATATCGCGAGGATCAGCTGCTCCAAAACCTTTGTGAGTGGCGACCAAGTCCCCCAATTTAGGCCGCTTGTCAATCGATAAAAGGCTTTCTTTGTACTTAACGTGTGCTTCGTGCATTTGGCGGAAGGAATTACTCGCCTTTCTTAGCATCGGAGCCTCAGAACGCGGTTTCATGTGGTCGTATAATTGATTCCAGCGCACTCGAAGTCTACCACACTGGATCCAAGGATCTCGGGATAAGACTAGCTCTTGAAAAACCCAGACACGATAGAACCAAGGTCGCTCCAGGATGTCTCTGACTCCATCCTTCATGGCATCATCAGATGAATCTTCACGCCTATCAGAGCACAATGAGAGATGTTTCAGAAGCGCCTCCGAGGCAGGAGTCAGATCACCCATGTAGATGACCGTATGTTGTGCACTCGCATATATCCTTCCCATCAGAGCCACTTGCCGACCCTTTTCATCCAGATCGGCCTGATTGATACATAAGGCATCGGCCCATAAGAATGAGACTCGGTTCTCGTCCTGGAGATCTTTGAGAGCGGCGTACAAGTTGGCGGTTACATCCACGTCCTGATTGTTGACTGACACCGTGCACGTTTTCTTCGAGTCTCCCCAGACATAAGAGAGAGCGGTGTAGTGATCGATCAGCTCATTTTCGTATTTGGAGAGCGTGGTATGGATGAGGCTGCATTGGAGCTGCGGGCTTTGAGACCTTCGCGGATGGAGCATGATGAGTCGGATTCCGTCTCCGTCTCTGATTTCGTCGTATCTGAATTTAGCCATGGACACTTTCTTCCCTGCGTCATTTCCGCGGTCTACCATGTCACGTCGTCTTTAGACGGTGACAATCGGCGAATGAGCATAAACTACGATAATCAACTGTTACATACCGAAATTCTTTCAGCAAGTGAGCAAATTTTTGGAGGAAAGCGCCTGCTTTACACCCCAGGAGTCAGCGACTTCTTAGGGACGAAGCCACTAGCCAAGGACGAGCTGTTGCTACCTGAAAGGAGCCTCCACATTCATCAAATCTCAGCTTAGCTACTGAACAATGAGGGCCCAAGCAGCTCTCATGCGCAACTAATCAACATCATCAAGAGGTCTTAATGGATGTGATTATGACTACTCTCAGTCAATCCCCCAGCTTTTAATCTAAGGCTAAGGAGTCACTACACGCCTGAAATTAAAGCAAAATCGGGGAAATGTGAGCCTGGTATTAGATTGTCACAGCGTGTACCCTGCGCACAACCCAACTAGCACCAGCAGATTTTCAGAATGTCAGACGGACAGACTAACGCTAGACCTCTTGTGAACTATAATGCTGCTACTCCGGGGATCGCAGCGTACAAATGCGCTTATTATCGACGAGGTCTTCTGTTGCATATCAGGGAATGTCAATCGGGATCGCTTTTGGTTCATCAAATCGACGCAGATAAGTAAGTGGCGCCCAAATTGTGCCAACAGCCTTGTGTGTCAGGACATCGCACCCGTAGATAGGCTATCAGGTTTGTCAGAGGTGACGAGATGAGACTTCGCGACGTAGGCGATTCACCAGGTTGCCTGCGACCTGAGATACGGGATACTACAAGCTGCTGCGGTCTTTCAGTCTGTAGGCGGTTTGTTGATTGGGATGTTCTTTGAGTGGCAGTTTTTGTAAGTAGGCTGCGGCCGCCCGCCGAACACATGCTGTACTAGATCTTCAATCGCGCTCGCCCATTTGATGAGGGTTGCTCCCTTCCAGGCTGTATGTTGAAGTGACAGGCTGACTGGCAGGCCGGCAGTGTCTACGCCTATGGGAATACATATGATCGGGTAACCTCGTTCCGGTAAGCCAGGGGTTGATGAGAGGTTGGAACTTGACCCACCTGCTTGGGCAGCAAGCTGCTGCCCAGCACCTTTGCGATCGCATAGCAATAGTGCGTCGAGTTCAAGGACGGTTCCATCATCGTTCTTGTGTCTCAGAGCTGCGTCAATTCCATTTTCACGTGTTTGCGATTGGACATGCTTGAGGGCAGCGTGATATGTGTCATCCTCTGATCCTTTCGTTTGGGCAATCTCGTGGAGATTATCCTGAGAAACGTTCAAAAAGAATAGCATCTGTGAGGCTGAGAATATTTACCTGGCCTGTTGGGAAAGCCGGATGATCACCTGGAAATGCACCCCCTGTGCCCGTATTTTGCTCATTGAATGCAATGATATCTTCCACAGATCTGATCTGGCTACTTTTCAAGTTAGAGAGATACTCATTGATACCATTGTATGCGTCAGCTTTGACGACAGTGTACTCGGATTTCGCCTCCTCCCCGTGCTCCCTACTTTGGTCAGCTTAGAGGTCTAACGCTCGAGTATAATGACTTGCCAATTCCAGCTGCCGTCAGAGGAGATCCTCTCCTCGGCGCAAGGAAAATCAACATCCACAATAGTAGCGCCAGCCTTTTCGATGGCCTTGAATAAAGTTTGTGCAACGTGTTTGCAGCCTTGTGGTACGAGTTGCCAACATCGCTTTTGTGGTAAACCAAATTGGGCGCCTCGAAGCGCCGTTTGTGTTGAGAGAGAAGCGCTAAAGCCACCCTCCTCGATTGTTGCCGCAAATTCAGAAGGAATTTCTCTTGAGTCCTTTGAAGCAATTGCAGTTAACCCGTGTACTGCGTCAGCTACCGTCCTGCCGAAGGTTCCGACGGTGTCAAAATTCTTGCTAATCGGGATAATTCCATGCCTTGAAGTAAGGCCGACAGTCGGCTTAATGCCAACGACACCGTTGATCGAAGCAGGACCAATAATGGAAGTGTCAGTCTCTGTGCCAAACGAGATTGGAACAATGTTCGTAGAGACTGCAACCGCTGAGCCCGAACTTGACCCAACTGCCCAGACCATGTAAGAATACTTTCGCTAGTTGCAAGATCAAGTTTGCTTACAGGGACTACTTGAGAGATCGTACGGATTACGCGTTTGACCACCTCGAGGCGAATAGCCCGTAGAATAGCTTTTAGATCTGACTGAGGCCCATTCGCTCATGTTCGAGTGTCCGATAATGACCGCGCCAGCCTTTCTTAGGAGAGAAACGATATGTGCATCTTCTGACACTAGGCTACCTAGAAGTGCCCATGAGCCAGCTGATGTTTGCATACTATCTTTGGTCGCCATGTTCTGGGAGAGTCAGATAGGAAGCTCTTGCCAATGCACTGACGAACGTCTTTCACAATGCGCTATCCTCTTTCAGCGGTCGTCACTGCACCATCACGTCCAAAGGTATCCAAATTAGTGGCTCTTGGGAAGCCCAGAGTCTTGTTCTTCCTCATAGCGTCGACACTGTTTATGATGGTAACAAACGTGCCGATGATGTTCGTCGCAAAGTTTGCAACAGACATTGGGATGAAACCATCCGACCAGGCACTGGCTCTATCATTGGTATTTGGTGGGAGTATACTCAGCACTTTTGCTTCTGGCTGGCTTAGTGATCGAGGCTTCACGCAAGGAGTAATGGGTTTCGAAGCAATCCTGTCTTCAGCTATCCATTTCCTTCTGTTAGGGTTCTCCAAGGCCAAAGTGGCTGTGTTTACATATGCCATATGTATTGGAATCGTTGGTGGAGGTAAGCAATTGACCGTGAAGTTTGATCCCACTGACAGCCCAGGGTACGCAAATTCTATGATTGCTTTCTATGCTGAGGTATCGCAAGGTGACGGAGAACTCTTCACTGCTATACATAGCCTTTTCAGCTTCTTTAACGGCGCTGCCATCTTGTCAGTTGGACCACTTGGAACTTACCTACTCAGACTTTCACCAATTGTTGAGATGGAGGCATATGCGATAGGCAAATATAAGGTAAGGACTACATAGTTGAGTCCAAATGCAACTAACAGTGCACTATAGTATTTGGTCATATACGCAGGAACAATGACCATGACCACCGGCCTCTTGCTGCTAATACCCTTGCTCTATAAGTATGTTGGAGGACTATCTAGCAAACGAAAATCTCCAGATATGTCAGGAGGCAGCTGAAGCAGGCAGCATACATGCTTGACCCGTGTATGAGTCGGTCATTTTAATTGCAAGGTGTATAGACCCAACAGGAATTCGTTTGATAGCCACAGCTCGAGCATCGTATATCGATGACTTAAGTCGAAGGGTTTAGCTGAGCACGGGACTGTCCTCGCCCATTAAACAAGGCTCTGCCCATAAGTCCGAAGCTCCCCCTCGTCCACGCACAGACTTGGGAGCTATGGTGTGGTAGCTGTGAATATGTCCATCCAATCAAGATGATGGTATCTTCCTTGCCGCCTGTGAATGCCAAGCACCATCTGCAGGCTGGGAGGCTAGATCATGTCCGCACAAGAGTGTGCTATTTTTAGTGGTCGGCCCCTGGGGCAGCCTTCCGGGAGTGCTGCCTATTCCCGCTCAGTATTCCTTATCTTTTGATCTGAGATCTTGTGAACATAGCACGACAATGACAACAGGATCATTCCCTCTGGCCGCTGTCGAAGGGGCTCATGCCGAGACCCAAGTTGAGCTTCGAATCTACGATGACGCACCTAGTGCGAACGCAACAGATTGCGAACAAGACTTGAGTATCGTCAGTGACAAATTAAAGGTTTGTAGTGAGCGCTACGCGCGGGCGTCGTAAAATCCGCTCTAATCACTTACAGAGGCGGAATCACTCTCGTGCACGGTGGATGTAGTGTTACCCTCCCCGTAGATCGATTCCTTTGGATACTAATCTCGACATAGTAACATCGTTGGCAATTCAAAGACTGTAAATGAGGTATGAACGTTACACATGCTATATCTATTCAGGCATCTGGCTGAGCCGCGAAATAGAAGATTTCCAAAGAGCATCTAGGCGGACATTGCTGCTTGACAAACGAACGTCTATCTGAACGATTGCTAGGCGGGCCCATCAATACCGGGGATGATCGACAATGTGAGCTTCCCATAAAACAATGATAATCGCGACCTGAAGCTTTCTAGTCATATGGATCCAGTCGTCTGTCTGGTTTCTTGGTAAGCGAAAGCGACTATGGTCGTCGTTGCGTCAATCAACATTACGCTTGGTCATCTGCCTGCCAACCTCTCGGGATGCTGGTAAGAATCGAATCGCGCTATGCGTGAGGGACTTGGGCTTATTATACACCTATACATCAGGCACTTTGATCACTAATTTCACAGGATCGCTGAGTCTTGCCAAAGAGCTAAGTAGCACAGTTGAGAGCCTGATCATGGAAAGACAATCTCTCGGACAGCAACTATTCACAAACGTCTGGACATTGGCTTTTTTCATTATGAGAACGTTGACCGAAGAGCTCGATCCAGCGTTCGGCATGCTTGATCCAATCAATCCACACTCGATGGTCCGCCACCCGTTTCATCCTCAAATCTGCTTGCTGACGAAGTTAGCGCTCTCCTTTACCCGACTTCCAGGACTTGCCATCTCTACTGGAGAAATCAAACAACTTAGCGCGGATTGATCGATACCTTGCTAGCCTGGAAGAGTCAGTCTCGTTCCTCGCCGCTGCTAGACAGTCGCTTTCTCAAGCACCAACGACCTCGCAACCTATTCTCAGCCTTGATTCATTGGCTGACTTCGAAACCGCCCGAGCAAGAGAGAGACTACTGCACCAACAGAAGCTTTGTCGCACCTATGTGAAGCAGTATGAGGCATTGACGCAGATGGTAATATTACAAAATGATATTCTTGAAGAGTAAGACGTTCTAATTCGAGGTTTCAGGTAATATCGAGTACAACGACGCAAATAATGCAGAGGATTGAAGCAGGTCGTGGGATGGCAGAGCAGTTGGCCAAAATCGGCACTTTTCTGGCCGCACTAGCAACCATTGCTGCTCCCATGGGCCTTCTAACAAGTTTCTTTGGCATGAATGTCCAAGAACTGAATCCACAATCGAACAGGACGCTTTTCGACTTCTGGCAACTCGGCCTTCCTATGTTATTAATAACCACGACATGTGTCGTCTCCGTAATGCTGCGAATGTACAGGCGATAACAAACTGGTCTCGAGACGAAGTAGAGCTGCATCTAACGTGAATTGTTTCAGTATCTATACACGCCACGTTGCTAGTACAAGGGCAGATCGTGTGATCTTTGACAATGACCCGTTACACGAGACATGCTACCTCAGCTCAGGCCGATAATGATCAGCGTTGAAGAAAGCTGGCAGTCCCCCTCTGGACAGATACTGGGAGATGATTGTTGAATGGCGCGACTGACTTAAGTGGGAGACTCATTGGATTGCTTGTGTCCTCCTGGACAGGTACATGAGTTCCATAAAGCATCTATAGGCGTCGCTTTACCGCGCAGTGGCATTTCCGGGTGTCAACCAGCGGTGCAGAAGTAAGAACTCACTCTGATGGAGGCTCTTCTCGCTTCAATATCCGTGTGAACGCCTACGAGCTTTAATTCTCGAGCCTATGACAATTCTTCAGAGAGCTCGTGGAAATGCATAGCGCCAACACTTCGCGTCTATGCAAGTACTCTTAAGACTTCTAATATCAAGATCTCGAAGCTAGACTTATAGGGGCGGCTGAGGGTTGGTCGGTCAGAACGTGGCCACGCCAAATAGAATTTAAGCGGGGTGTTTTAGGGACCTACCCTAGAGAGCTCCCTATAAGCCGGTTATCCTAGGCCACCAACCCCCTGTTTTGCCCCTACAAATTTGGCGCGGCCACGTTCAGACTGAATAACCCTCGGGCGACGTAGGATCGGCCTAATTCTGAGGCCAAGCCCTTATAACCTTTCAAGTCCCCTTGGGGACCAAAATGATAGAAAATTCTGCCTAACGAAATATCAATGCATATATTTACAATGGTAGAATAAATAGAAAGTTTAATTAAAATCCCATTCATTGACCTACAGTCATATATGTCTTGAACTCAGAATATGCAATTATTATGGTACCCGCCAAGCCTTTCAGGCAGCAGGATGATCCGCTTCTAATCCTTCCATCCTCTTGACGGCTATGGTAATCTCTCAAGCAACATCCCCGCTCTCCTTCCTTAACGTCAGGATTCAATACTTTTGCACCGCTCGACCTTCCTAATTCAATCATCATGGACAACTTACCCCTCGAACTCTTCGAGCAGATCATACTCTGCTTGACCTTTGGCCCGGAGATTCAGTCAAGCTGTACCGACCTCCTCGCCCTCTCCCTAACAGACCATCGCTATCATGCCATAACAGCACCCTACCTGGCGGCCCAACTTGACGCAATCCTCAACTCCACGGATCGCCCACCATGGGTCGTCTTTCCCGAGGTGGTCACCAAAGCATTGCCCTTTCCCCCAAACAGAAGAGAAGTGGTGAGGACGATGAACGAATACATGGACAGCATCCTCTCGCCATTTTCATGCCATGTGCCACCCAAAATGGCGCCTGGCTTCCAGGCTTGGGCTTTCCGTAAGACTGCGCCACGGGAGCCATACCTTTTGCCTTGCGCGAAGAATGGCTTTCGCTGGGTCTCACCGCAGGCCCATGAGAGAGCCTTTTGGACCGTCGAAGATTGTAAGCGTAGCGAAGTTGAAGGTAATTGGATCGAAGGTATCTCGCAGCATGATTTGGATTCTAATCAGCCTGCGGAAGCTATGTGCATCGAGTACAAGAAGACAGCTAGTACAATTGATGTGACGCTTAGGTATCTGGAAGAGTTGAATGCGATTGAGCTGAGTGTGAAGGAGATGGACGGGAGGGTTCTGGGGCAGGAGAAGGAATGGTGGAAATGTGATCTTCGCCGCCGTCGTCAAGAGTTCGACATTGTACCGAAGAAGCAATCATGCTGCTGAGGAATGCACAGAGCGATTGCTGCATATCGCGGGCTCTTGTTGAGCATTCTCAACAATCGACCTTTTCTCAGGTCATAGGAAAGCTCATCAAGGTTATGTACTCACTAATACTTATCTCATGGCATCACACCACCAGTCTGCCTAAATATTTTAAGGGAGTTGACGCACTCGCCTACTCAAGACTCGAATTCACAGGGGACTCTCCAGTGAAATTAAATAGTCAGCTTGGTCAGACGGGAAGGAATAATGTCTTATGAAGGTCTCAGAATTACGCATATTTGATCCTGATGCACGTTATTTGACCCCATGCAGTTCTGAGACTGAAACCCCCCTCGGCCTGGCTTACCTCGAGCGCCACCTCCACTGTTTCAACCTTCTTGACAGTCTTCCCCGGCGATGACCCCTCTCTCTCACGTATCGACAGCTTCGAAATCATCAAGCTAATAACCTAGTATTAAATCATCATGCCTAAGACATTGGGTTCGGACAGGCGTAAGAAGGCCAGAAGGCCAGATCTTCCCATTCTGGTCCAATAGATAATCTACAACTCGAGCTCCTTGAGCAGGTCCTCCTGTACTTGGACACGGATGACATGTACCTAAGCTGCGAGGACCTCTTCGCATTTTCTTTAACGAACCGTTACTACAATCAGATCACTACACCATATCTTACAACCCGACTCAATATAGTCATTAAACGTATCACGAATCCACCGTGGATAGTTTTCCCCGACGCTATCATCAGCGGAGTCCCTTTCCCACCGCATCATCTCCAGATCCTTATACAAATGAGCGACTACATCGACAGCATACTCTGCCCAGACTTTACTCCTAACGTACCAGTCCAATTTCAGACCTGGGTCTTCCGCAAAACCGCACCCCAGGGGCCATATCTCTTGCCTTGCGAGGACCCTAATGATTTCCGCTGGATGTGCCACCTGACGTACAAGACCAAATTTGATATCTTGAACAGATACATGTCCGACAAGGGGAGAAAAGGGTGGATCGAGGGTATGCCGAAGAAGAGTATTCTCCCACACGACTTCACAGCAGCCATGTGCATTGAGTTGAAAGAGGAGGCTAAGTCGACGAACTTTGTACTCAGATATCGTAAGGATCTGAATGCAATCGAAGTGAGCACAAGAGGAGCGCATAAGGATTTTGAAAGATAGGCTTCGGCGAGGAGGAGGTACAATCTTCGTCGTTGACATCTATCTCGAGGCTGGTTAGCACGCTATCAAGATCCAAGACATCGTTGGCTGCATATCGCAGAGTCACCTCCAGTTTCCGAGGCTATTCGCTGTTCTATCAGACGAGGCCTCGGATCATCGGACCCCTCTCATTGTTCAAGATTAGAGTGGGCAGCGTCATAGGCATCACCGACCAGAAAGTTTAGGCGAGACCCCACTATCACATTCCCGCTTCAGCCAATATTTTCTCTTTCCACCCATCTTCACCACAGCATGGATCGTCTACCTCCTGAAATCCACACACAGATACTTCACGATCTTCAGACTCTCTATGACCCAGCTATGGCTGACGATATCTTTCAACTAGCCGACGACCTGTTTGCCTTATCGACCGCCAATCGCCGCTGCTGGAAATTCACAGCGCCTTATCTCTCCGAATTCCTCGACACGATGATCTTCGATATCTGTGTAGGCTACCCACCGTGGTTCAAACCCACTATTCCACAGAGTAGCAAGGCTGCAGTCAACCAATTGTACGAATTCGTCTCCAAGATTCATGCGTTACCCCAACGATTCCGATCCTGGGCGGTGCGAAAGACAGCGCCCACCGAACCTTTCCACTTACCGGCTACGAGACCAGATGAGCTTCTCTTCACTTTCCAAGGCTCGGGTCGCTGGACTAGTGTGCTTTATAAAGGTGCAAAGACAGGTAGTGGCGAGCAGAATGCTTTGGGTTACCAGCTGTTGCTCAGGGACATTATTTGGCAGGGCTATCTGGCTGAGGCTAGCTGGGAATTATGCTCGCAATTGGAGGCGGTTTGCAATGTACTGATGATCAAGACCAGAGGGAAGGGAACAGAGCAACAGCTTATTGTATCGACTGTCGAGACTGATGAGAAATTTGCCGAGGACCACGTGGTGACAGAGGTTGGGGAAGTGGATATTATCAACTGAGGCAAGCCATTAACCTACTAACAAATCGCGGAATTGATTGAAATGATTTTCACGTCGCACATGAATTCATACAAGGATGTTCAACGGAAGTTCATTGCTCGGTAGTACATACTAGTCCTGCACATGGAGCGCCCAGTGCTGTCCTACTCCGTCATAATCTATATCATAGCTTCTCTCACATCTGAATCAGTTCTACAATTCTCACGACTTCAACCATCATGGACCGCCTATCCATGGAATTGCATTTGAAAATCATCACCGATCTTTGTACTTCGGAATACGCATGTTGTTTCGACCTCCTTCACCTGGCCGAGACCAGCAGATATTTCCACAGACTGGCATGCCCTATTTTCCTAAAGACTTTGTGCAAGCTATTACGGGCAAAGATCAAGCCAGGTACTTGGGCTCCCAAAACCACGAGTGACTCTCGCATTCCACAAGATGCATCAGTCCTTGTACGAGATACCCTGAGCTTGATCTTTTACAGGTCTGCCTTCAAAGAAATTCCACAGCTCTTCCGCCCACTTGCCGTTCAGCTCACAGGGCCGAAAGAACCCCTAATCGCCTATCATCCCGACTGGAAAGGCCGACTATTCATAGACATAAAGGGACCTTATCATCCAGAGCCACCCATCTATGCATGCGCAAAAGATCTTGTGGCGTGTTGCGCGGAGTTCACTTTGAAGCGCGATGTGGAAGGGGGTATTGTTATGTTCTCGACAAAGCAGATTGATAAGAAGATTGAAAGGGAGAAACAGAAAGCTAAGAAGTTGGCTAAGAAGGAAAGGCTAAGGGGCTCAAAGAGACCGCGCAAAGAGGCTAAGGATCAATGAGTAAAATCATGGGATACGTTGGAATGTACGATACTGTACCCGAGTTCACCGACTGATGGGCACGGATGACGATAGTGGAGTTGGGAATGTCACACGTCTTTGAACAATTGACGTACTTGACCAAATGCCCGCTTTAATGACGAATCAGTCAGCTTGATGATCCGCTCAGCTACTTGTTTATTAAGCTATCTTGTCTACCAATCTATTGCTGCTCTTGGTGGAGCAAGGGTAGTTCTGGGCAATCTTACCTGATTAGTCTTTAGAGGTTATTTAACGTTTTTATATTATACTTGCTTTAAAGCCTTACAATGCTATTAAAGGACCTTGTTATCGATAGGCTAAAACAATATGCAGGTGATTGACCCCATCGTCGCTAGATTCGGCTACTACTTAATCTTTAAAGAAGTTTTAATTTGAGCACTCTTTGTAAGTATATTGTATTTACAAGGGCACTTAAAAGCAGCACTATCTAGATGGCGGAGAAGACGCTTATCTACCAACGAGACGCTCATTGATCAATGGTGTCTTATTAATCATTAAGATAGACCTTTAGTTAATAAGCGTGGGCTGTTTTGTCAATTAGACCAATTGGTCAAAGAGGTGTGACAGGTGTCACAATGCCCATTAAAAACTCCATTTGCATTCACATCAACACTCGTCACGTGAACAAGGCATATTAAAACGTGTTACCGCCTGACAAGGTTAGCGGCATCTTTATTCATTGTTTGCTCGTAAAAATCTGGGTCACTTAAACCTCGTTGTTCCACACCTCCTTACTAACTTCCATCCTACAACCTAACAGCACCAAACATGGAACGTCTAGCAACGGAGACTCACTTGCAAATCATCGACTATCTTCGTACATCAGAGTATGATTGTTGTTTCGACATCCTCAACTTAGCTGTGACCAGTCGATACTTTCACAGACTAACGATCCCAATTTTCACGAAGACCCTCCGTATGATCTTGAAGGAGAAGGTCGATCCATCTCCTTGGTCTTCTTCCGTATTTCCAGGATCTCCACCAGACTCTGGTGCTCATCCGCTTTACTTTCATTGTCGGTTAAAAGGATTACCACTTACCTGGCCATTTTCTGCACCATCCAGACCCATATTTGTGCCCCCAGAATTAGGCCGCCCGGAACCGGCTCTTGACTTACTTCACCACTTTTTCACACTAAAACAAATCCCTGAGCGTTTTCGCCCTCTGGCTCTCCAAATGACAGCTCCCAGGGAATCCTACAAACTCGTCTACCCCACTGGGCTTGAAGGTTTCCGTCTTGATCGTATTGAATACACCAGACTGCGCTTTCTGGAGACTTTCGAGCACAAGATCCATCTCGAAGGAGGCAAGGTAGAGGGTCTGCAAGACGCAGCCACCTTTGACTCGCGTGGGGTACTGGGTGATCCCATGATCCAGATCATATTCGAGCTGAAGATCAATTTCCCTCATCTCACTTACAGATGTCATGATGATCCACACGTTCTGACTATTTCGGCAAGAAAGAAACACTAGAGGATCGAGAGGGAGAAGCAGGAAGCTACAAAGATAGCAGACATGCAAATGCATATGAAAATGCGGAGGGCTCCCAGAATGATTACTGAGCATTAAGCAAGATCGGAGATCTTAAAAAGAGGTTGTGATTATTCATTCCAACTTTCTGTCTGCTAAATACGAGAGGATGGGAATGGCTCAAGTACAAGGGAAGAAGTGAATATAGTATGTCACAGGTGTGTTACAACCCTTAAGAAGGTTAGCAGAAAATTTGCCACCCCCTCCCCCAAATGTCTCTTCAACACCTGCCTATTCTTATCCTTACTCTTTACGACCCTTTTCAGATACCCAATGTTCATGACTTGATGAACCATGGATCGACTAGCAACAGAGATCCACGTTCATATCATCCGCCAGTTACCAATTGACTCTCCCCTCGATTATTTAAATCTCTGCCTTACAAATCATTACTACCATGACCTTACGATACCCCGACTTTCTCAGAGCCTGAAATTCTTTCTCGAGAAGCGCTGGTGCCTACCTCCATGGATGACTTTTACAGCAGATGATGGGCCAGATGCGCATCAAATCGCAGAACAGATGCAGTCATTTGTCGGAAATTTGACGATCAAGCTAGCTCCGGGTCTCCTGCGTTGGGCCCTCCGTTTCACAGCGCCAAAGGAAGCATATGAACTCCCAAGTCCTCCCCCACGACACCAGATGCAATTTTCCAGCAATCTACGAGTATGACCAGGCAACAATACGATGCGGCAGAGAATATGCATCGAGCAATGGACGCCATTGACGGGTGCAGAGGTCGAAAGCGTTCATGGGTGGATCGTCACAAATGGAAGGAACTGAAAGACTTGAAATGGCTAGAAGACCCGAGAGTCAGTTTGTGTATTGAATACAAAGCGATCTTTCCAGATGTCATACTGAGTATGGATAAAGAGAGGGATGTTCTGACCGTAAGTACGAAGCAGATCAATCAAGGAATCCCGTATGTACAGGGGATTGGAGAGAGAATCCGAGGGAGGAAGAGGGGTAAGCAAATCATTTGGGGAATGATTGAAGACGTGGGAAGCGAGGAAGGCTCGTAAAGCCGGCAAGATCACTCAAGACTATCATAAGATGACGCAGCAAACATAAGATCTGCTAAGCGTACGGTGGAAACTTTGGCGAGAGCTAGCCAAATTTGAATGCAGAGTTTTTATGGCGTACTTATAATCATGCTGATGGATCTGGCTTTGTACCACAACACTGAGCTTAGCATGTCACACAATATCTCCCTCGACCCCAGTTAGCCGCCTCCTTTCTCACAACCTTTTTCGTGACATTTCGAATCCGTAAGTGTCAACACCCTCATTATCCCACAGCTCTCTACCCGTCCTTCAAATTCCTCTGACCTGAAGTGTCATCAGCCATGGAGCGACTACCTACTGAGCTCCATGTCCAAATCATCGGCCATCTTCGAGAAGAAACGATACTCAATACCTGCTTCGATCTCCTGCATTTTCGCCTGACGAGCCACTATTTCGGCGAAGTCGCCACTCCATCCCTTCATCAAGCTCTACATGAATGGCTTGGCGCGTCTGAATGTCTGCCGCCCTGGTTGGATCCTACCCTTGACGCTCGCCCTACCATTACAGCCATCTTAAAAAGCCTACACTTCTTCACACAGACAATCAAGGTACTTCCCCCAAGAACTCAGTGCTGGGCCTTTCGTTACACAGCACCTAAGGAGCCTTACACCATCTCACGACTCCAACAGGAGAAGAGAGGTACCGTAGAGCGTTTAGTGCAAAAGCTCCTCGAATACGAGACGTTCATCGAAGCAAGTGCAGTAGTTGATTTGTATAAGAACCGCAAAATCAAGTGGATAGACAATTGTGGGAGGTCTGAAGTAATGAAAAAGGGATACCTAAGGGATACTAGAGTCGCGGCAGGTATAGAATACAAGGCGATGTTCCAAGATATTACGCTGAGTATGGACTGTGAGAAGGATCTTTTGATCATAAGTACAGAGGAAATGAACCAGAGGATCGCTGCGGAAAAGGCTAAGAATCAAAGAGATGAAGAGGGGTAAGACTATGAAGAAGTCTGGGGAATGAGATGAGATTCGGTATGAGCCAGGTCGTAGAAGAGGAAACTCTCCCCACATACACACCAATACTCATCAATCAATCCGTTGAATCGAATTCCCAAGTCTCCTGTGTGTATCTGTGTGCTTTCCTCTCAGCAAAGTCTCATAGTGCCGTGAGTTACGTCTTGTGGTTGGCCTCAGCATTCTGTGATGGAAAGTGTCGAAAAATGAGGTCCCTGGGCACTCCACTTTCAGGGCTGCCCTAGGCGGGGGAGCCCTAAAACCCGCAGCCTAGGGTGGCAATTAGGAGCCGCGTTTTCCTACGTGACGCGTCAATCCATTCCCCTACACCTGCATCAACAAACCGATGTCCAATCTGATGGAAATCGATAGTGCAAGCGCTCGTCGACGAGCCATCCATTGAACTGATTGATGAGCTTTGAACAACTCCTCACTCTGGAATAACCCAGATTGCGAACTTTTCCTCCCATATTCCAAGCATTCTCTGCGCACCCCAAATCGACAGCGTGTACCGACTCGGGACTTCCTAAAAACGGTTTCGTCTTACGATTGATCAATCGACTCGTCTTCATTCGGTGTATGGTAGTATTTGATCGCAATAAAAAATCAGACGACACCTTTCGCCCCTAGAGCCACTTCACGCAGATGTACGGCGGGTGAAGATTCAAAGATCATGGAGACGTTGCCAATCGAGATTCAGCTCCTAGTCATCCACGCCCTTGATGATGGTCAAAAAGATAATCTGATCGATTTTGAGGGGCAGTCCAAAGATTTTGTTCCTTTACTTTGCTCCGACTATCAATCAGGAACGAGCCTGTTTTGTGCTGTAAAACCTTCCCCTAATCTCCAGGACCTCCTATCCATCGGTCTTGTCAATCATTATTTCAACGTCTTAGTGCACTCGGCACTTAAGCAGAAGATCGAACGTATTGGTGGCTTCGATATAATCACTCATCCCCCGTGGAGCATTACCTATACACAGTCTCAGATGGCATCAGTAGCGCCACAACCAAAGGAAATTTTGCATAGACTCAACACCTACATTCACGATATGAGACACCTGGGATGCATGCAAACGTACAGACCCTGGCTTTTCGAACGAACACGACCAGCTCAACCCTTTCCAATACCTCGACTCCCCAAGAACGAGAGATTTGATCCCAGCAAACTGAGCCCGTGTACTTCAGCCGTTTCAAAATGCAAACATATCAATATGGGCGTGGACTGGATCATTGGCATCCCGCAGAATCGTCTGCTGGGTAACGGGCTCCTGGAAGATGTGACCATAGTTGCTTGCATTGAGCTTAAGGCTTTGTGGGGTGAGATCACACTGACGTATGATCGGAATGTTGACGCCATTGTTGTTTCCACAAGAGATATTGATTCGGAGCTTTCGAGGGAGAAGCAGAAGTTCGCAAGGGAAAGGCAAAGAATTGCAAGGGAGGAGAAAAAGAGGCTTGCGATGGAGAAGAAACAGAGGCTTGCGACGGAGAGGAAGGAGATGGTCGCGAAGCGAAAGAAGGAGAAGGTTGCGAAGCAGAAGAAAGAGAAGACCGCGAAGGGGTAGCATGTAGGTGCGAGTGATGAAAGCCCAACCGGCTAGAGATGACGGTGAAAAGATCACTATCACGACTCGCTGAAGGATGTATCGGCATCGACGAGAACTCATCTGACAAAGTCAATTATGTAAGGCAAAGGGGAAGGATTTTGACACTAATAAATTCAAGGAGACAGGGAAAGAAGACTCGACAGCTATCGTCAACGCTCCACGCTTGTGAGCTTTACTGATTTGAAACGCCTGCTTGTAACATGCTCAGATGGTTTCATGTTGAACTTTGAGAGTGATTTGATAACATTCTTATTCTTCATGAGATGGGAAATAGGTCTCTAAGAGTAAGAGGCGGGGTGAGTATATCCCCAGAAAGCTCTATCATGTATCGAGATGAAAATAGAATTGAATACCCCAAACTCACGTCTCTCGCGCTGACTTTCCATCAAAACCTCCTGTTCGTGCATGATTCTCCGTGATATATGAGAACTAATGCGGCTCAGTTTGCTGTCCCCTAAAGCTCGGCAAACCTAGGAGGAATCGTGACTTTGAGAATTGGCGTAATGGTAGCGCGTCCATCGTGGTATCACATTTAGAGCGCTTTACATCATAGTGGCACTGAGACCTAAGGGGCTTCTCGCGCCCTGACTGCCCCTTGATACTTTGTTTGCCGTTGTTCGAACAAAGAAACAGAGATTTTCAAGATGAGACTTTTCTTCTCGGCGCATCAAAGATGACAGAACACAGTCATCACTTATAGCCCTCATGGAGTAGATACAAAGCTGGGAACGCCTGAACATGTAAGGTCTTTTATCTAGGAGGTGTTGTGCTCTGCTGGTAATGCAAGCAATATGCCAATGACAGCAAATTGTTGAAAGCACTGCAGATAAAGAAACCGCTGATGGTCGAAGCTCGATTTTATTCAATATGCTGCTCGACTGCATCAGCGACCTCGAGTGGTGCAGCACTCATGCATACATGCCCGACATCACTTATCGTGACAGCTCAGATCCAGAGTGCCCAGCACCAACTCCCCGCCCGTCAGGTCTTTGTTCAGAACCTTTACCATAACAGCTACAGTCTCATGGAGACATTGCCATTGTTCTCCTGGGCCTCGTATTTACGAGGGACGACACAATGAGATTGTATTGTGCCGCTTCAATGTTCCAACCCTAGATGAGGGCAGTGCACAATGCTCGCGAAGGTGGTATATCAAGCTCCTCGTGCTCCGCTCCTCGATTCTGCTCTTTTCTCCCTCACATACACAACATCATCATATTTACGCCTAATACTACAATTGCCACCACTGCCGCCGGCTTTCAACCTACACAATTTAATACAACAACCCTCAAGCAACACTAAATAAATATTCACAATCACCAAACAACAAACAGCCAGAGCTTTGACGATGGGGTCAAAAATGTCGAAACCCGGCCGGGGAGGTAACCCTCTCCTTGCGGCCCGTGTACGAAAGCCGACACCTTATAAGTCGCCGTCAAGAAATAGACCGCCATACTCTACACCAAACAGCCCTTCTCCTGTCAACCTCACACGAACGACTCTTCAGGTCGCAACCTCACTCCACCTCGGCCAATCCGTCCGGTCGACCCTCCTCCCTCTGACGCCTCCCCAGCGGGCTCGAGTTCGCTGCGCCATTCACATTCATCATCCGACCCTCCTTGACTACTGGCCAAGCGAGCAGACACTTGCATTCTGGGAGTACGAGAGATGTGAAGAGGAGAGAAGGGAGCAGGGCCGACGATGGGAAGAGGAATTTAGTCGAGACATAAACACTTTAGGTTTGACAGAAGCCATGAGGAGAAGAGAAGAGCAGTACAGAGAAACGCCGCGGGCGCGGGCAACGGGTTTGGATAAGGAGTTGCCCCAGATACCAGAGTCCGCACACCTGCCCAGCGCAGGCCTCAAGAGGACCAACGCAATTCGAAGCATAACAGGAACCCTCCACGCCCAGCCCGGTCAACAGGCGCACATAACAAGCATTGGGTTGCATCGAACAAACACGCCCAGACTTCGCCCTGGACACAGTGGCGTGCTGCGTGTAGTAAATCCAGATGAGACCGAGTCGCCGGAGCCGAGATTGCCTTCGTTGCCGGAGCGGACGAGTGGGAGTGGTTTCTGGTTCTGATTTAGACGTTGATGCATGGGGGCAAAGAGGGTGGGAAGTAGGGGGGTGGAGGGGGGTGGAGGGGGATGGAGGACGTTGAGCAAGAAAATAGCTCCGTCTGACATACTGAAGGGGATGATGGATGATGTTGAGCTGTCAACTGCTCCGTCTGATATCCCTCCAAAATCCGATTCGAGTTGATGGAGGGCGTTGAGCAAGAAAATGGCTCCGTCTGGTATCAAGAGTTCCTTCGATTCAAGGTAGATATTTTGATGGTATGTGACGTTGAGCTAGAAAAATGCTCCGTTGCTTTTTTATATTTTGACAGAAAAGTGCTGCGACGATAGTTTTGGTCGTGGTGAAAATGAATATTACAAGATTTGACTTTCTTGATATTGCTGAAAGTGCTTATTGTCCATCTTGAGGTGCTTTCTGACTTACTTGCTTCTGAGAAAATGTCCATAGATGCAGATCGGCTTGTCTTGAAGGTTTTCCCTTGTACCCACGGTCAACATCCCAGCCGTTTCCTCTCTACATTGTGCAAGGACAAGTTGGAACAGATTTTGGTTAGTGCTACGATGCTCAGCACTAAGAGTATCGTGCAATAATCAATGAATACTTGGAATAACGTCAACATACCTATGCTTTAACGGGGAATTTCTGATGGATCCTTAAGATGAGCAATGGACTCAGGTGGACAAAGCGGCTACCCAGACTTGGACCTCGCTCAGTGATCTCATGGCTTCTGAAGCACCACATACAGGAAGCACTGTTTCTACGTTAAGATCCTCGTGTTTCAGCGTGGCATGTCCAAATGTTATACTTCTACCACACACGGTACAACTCAATAAAGAACCCACTGCCGACCAATATGACGCTGTCTGCTGGCTTTAACCTTTCGACCAAAGCAACGCAGACATTCAGTGACTACGGACAAAATGTCGTTACATTTTCCCTTGACTCAATATCACAAATCCAAAAGCCAGGGCAAAGTGCGTTGCATCCCCCGCATCTTCCCCAGCTAAAAAACCATCAAAATAGCCCATCCCTCCTCACAGCAATCTCCACCTCGCATCCACATCACCTAGCCGTCAACGCAACAGTCTCATTCCCTCCCACCCCACTCCACCCCCCCCCCTCCACCCCCTCCCCTTTAACCGGCGGCACACCCACCAACCCCGCTCTAAACGCCACGCCCTTATCCCGTGCAAACATAACATCGACATCAAAACTGGGCACGACGCGCTGATCCGTCCACAAGCCCACGAACGCGCGGACCTCCCTCAGTATAGTCGCCATATCCTGCCAGGTGAGCTGTATGGTGGGTGATTGCGGCACGATGCCGAAGCGCAGGCGTGAGTTCGTGCGAAGGATGTACAGGCTTTCGATCCAGGGGAAGAGGTGGGGGGGGAAGATGGGGAAGGGGAGGGGGAGGGGGAGGCTGCTGTTGGTGGAGGAGGGCGGGGGGAGAGGGACTGGGGGGGTTGTTAGGGGAGAGGGCGGGGGAGGTCGGAGGGGAGGAAGGGGAGGAGGGGAGGGAGGAGGGGAGGAAGGGGAGGAGGGGAGGTCGGAGGGGAGGAAGGGGAGGAGGGGAGGGGAGGGGAAAGGAGGGGGGATGTACCTGCAGGTATAAAGTGTCCAAGGCTTTGTAGAATAAATCTTGCACGTCCTGGGGTTCGTTTGAGTCGCGGTAGTTGTAGGCTCGGAAGCGAAGGCGCCGTTCCTGACTTGTCCAGTAATAGGGGTTTGGGGGTGCTGAAAGCGAGGGGGAGGTTTGAGTTTGATTTTCTGATTGTTGCAAAGTGTCGGTGGTGTTCAAGGCTCCTCCTGTCGGGTCTTGTTGTGCGCAAATGCTGATGGGGAATAGTGTTGTAATGGATGATATGAGAAGCAGCCACGACGGCATGATGGCTTGGTGACTTCTCCCTGTTAGAGAGGAGACTTGTGGGCGAATTCAGGGTCTTCTACTGACTTGGAAATGATACAAAGGATGAAGCCATTGGTATGATTGTGGATTAAAGGCGCTTTTGTGGAGGTTGATCTGAGCGTCGAAGTCATCCTGAGACTCAGAAATTTCCAAGCGCTGATTAAGACAAAAAGTCTCCACAATGAAATTTAGCTGTCTTGGATTTTCCAGCGGTAGCTGGAAGAAGGCAGGTGTCTCTTTTCCTGTGTTGGTATGCATCCTGGAAATTATTTCTGATTCGTGTGAAGTATCTCATCTCAGAAATACAGTCTCTTCTTCCTCAGCGTGCCATCTTTTCCATCTCCCACGTCTTGGACCATACAAAAAGCGACATTTCCGACCATCTCGTTCGATCGTGTATCTGTCACCTGTGCTCTGGTGTTCGCTAGGAAACCTCACCCTTTGCACTCAACCTAAGGTAATGCCAGCTCCTGGGCGAGGAAAGTGCGGGCTGTCTCTCGCTCAAAGTCGAAACGTAACCAAGCATATCCGGTGCCTTTGCCATCCGAGAGCAAAGGTGAAGAGGACGCAGGTCTGAAGTATCAGCGTGATCGCTAAAAAGAGAATAGCTCGCCACTCGCTGACGTGGTATTGCGACTTTTCATGTATGGTGAGGGTAATTGCTGTAGTGTTTGCCATTGGCACAACTCCAGGAGTGGGGTCACCAGGCCAGAGAAATCAGCAGCGAAACCCTGAACGATACCTACCGAAAGGAGTTGTGTCCGCCAGATAATGTTGAGGACCGTAGTCAGTCGTTTAGAAAAGACTGTTCCAGAGGTAATCCAAGAATCTGAACCTGAGACCTGGTAGTAGGCAGCCAATGGCGCCGTCGATCCGATAAAGTACTCCGCGACGGACTCAAATGGCCGGACAAACCGAACCCCGGCGCTCCTGATGTGAAATTTAATAGCTCGCTGAATAAGTCGGCAGTGAAGGGTGTCGCAGGGTCGACGAATTTCTCAGGGCGTAATGGGAGATGTTCTATCAATGGCTGTGTACTGATGACTTTGCGGCACCGCCGCAGCCTTCGTCGCTCAGAATCCTAGGATAAGTCAAGGTACAGGTGTAGACTTCAAAACGCGTCTCGGTATTCGTGTAAGCATGGGATATGAAAACCCAGTTGTCTGGCCTCAGCCTTTATCCATCCATGATAGGGAAACAATTGACGCTCGTGATTCTCCATTGCTATTTTTTTGGCCAACTGACTCCTTCGGCTATGGCATCGTTTTGAGTAGACAGCCCTTCTCGATTGTATCATGCTTCGCACAATATGACTATCTGGACGAAGGAGCGAAGGTCAATATGCAGCTCAGCATGCTTTTCACCTGCTGCGTCACCAATGCAGCTAAGAAATCAAGAGCCAGTTTGCACGTCATATGACACAGGTTTGACTTCCTCATTCTCCGCTCTCCACTGTACAACGAAATGCTCATGATGTAGGTTGATGAGAGATACGGCCTGAAAATTAGTAGACGAAAGTCTTTAGGGGCAGATAAGGAGCCTACCGCTGCGCCCTCGAGTAGCGGTATTATAATCTATCTTCTATCGTACAACCGCGACCCCAACCATTAAAGCGAGGCACACACCTCCCAACACCCTCGCCGTCCACAACCTCCCACCCTCATTCGGCGAACTGCTCGCCGGACTCGTCGTGGCAGCTACCGCACTACTCGTCGTCCCCGTCCCCGTCCCCGTCGCCGTGCTAATCGTACTCGTCGTGACAGCCACGGAGCTGCTCCCACTACTCCCTCCCCCACCTCCCCCACCAACACCCCCCGTCTTCTTCGCCCCAACCCCAGAAAACGCCACACTACTCGTCCCTCCTCCCCCGCCCTTCCCCCCGCACATCCCTCCACCTTCTGAAACCCCTCCTTCCACTTCTGTATCATCCCCACCCCATACTTCTTGAGCTGCGCATCCTGAAAATACCGCTTCGCCGCGGGCCCGTAGCTGTTCCTGTTCTGGAAGAAGGCCACGGCGCAGGGTTTGTCGCAGTCGGGCGGGGGGTCGAGGGTTTGGAATAAAGCGGGGGCGATGGGGGAGGAGAGGATGCAGTATTGATTTTGGCTGGCGTTCAATCACACGATTAGCTAGGTTTGTATTGAGGTTGGGAATATGGCAGGGGAGAGAGGGAGGGGGGGGGACCTACGCATTCTTCGAGCACACCTGCGCCCACGTAAATTCTATAATATTACCCACCCACCACACCTTATCAGCAGTGATATTCTGCCCATTCGGATCCGGCGCGTCCAACGTTTCGATGGCCACATCGCTATCCATGTCGCATGCGTCGCCCACATTTTCCACATACCCGCTCAGCGCATTCTTGCACGTGTCAGCGCAGATGGAGAGCAGATCCTGCTGCGAGGGGCGATAGTTGGGGAAATGCGTCCCTGCGAGGACGAGGAGCGGGTCCGGGCAGGAGATGGGAGCTGAGTAGGCGGTGCGGCAGTCGGGGGAGGTGGTGGATGCGAGGGAGGAGGCGGTGTATTGCCAGTTGGAGGTGGAGGTGTTGAGGGAGAAGGGGGAAGTGGGGAGGGTTAGGGAGAGGTAGAGGAGGATGGGGAGGAGGATGTGCATTCTTTGTCGCCTCTTGTCGTTGGGGGTTTGGTGGGAAGGTAGGGAGGGAGGGGAGGGGAGAGTAGAAAGGTGGAAGCCATGGTGCGGTGGACGGGCCTGGTTCTATATGGGGAGGGAGGGCGGGAAACGGAGGTGGTGGTGGCAGTGTCGAGGGTTACATGCTGCTTGACTATTTCGGTCTTGCGAGCAGGACGACGGCTGAGGCACAGCGAGGTAAGCTTGTATAGATCGACGCAGGTGGTGGTGCTGTGAAACGCCGAGTTGATGCCACTTGATGCCAACCTGTAGGCTAGTCATGCGCCAAGGCCGGCCTGTCTTTTAGGGCTTCCCAGGGCCCTTATAGGGACTGGACTGGTGGGGGATCTGAATGTCTAATGTTACACCATTGCACATCTTGCTATCTTGCATGTGGTCTGGAGGGTGGATATTTGCTGTCTTAATGAGGGGATTGTAGCGATGCAGACTTCACTGTAGC